TCGACACACCGATATATATATATATATATATATATATAGTGTGTGTGTGTGTTTTTTTTTTTATTTTTACACATTTGTTTAAAAAAAACGTGAAAGCTATACTAATGCGGTTTCTGCAGGTGGGTTATACCAACGGTGGGTTATACGGCCAGGCGGACATTATGTGGGTGGCTAATCTTTGCGATAAGTCGGCTAATGAATTAAAATTCGTTAATTAACTTTTTAATTACTGAAAATAAACATATGGTTTGAATTAGAAACTTGCTGGGCATCATCGAAAACCCCTAAATCAACTATTTTTAGGATATAACGCCGGGGCAGCATTTTACGGCGTTCTGTAAAAACCAGGGTGTAATAGCGAGTTCGTTTCACGGCACTCGTGCCCACGCGTGCCCACTCGCAGCGTGGAACGGGTTCGTTTCGGCCGGCACTCCACGAGTGGTTGCACTCTCCGAGTTCGTTTCAGCGCTGACACCCCACGCGTGCATGCACTCGCTGCACCGAGAAAATCGGGAGTGCGCCAAAATGCAATCCCGTCATGCCTCGCTCCGGCGGGGCCGGCGAGGAGCGGGAGCAGACGACGAGGGTTCGTCTGCTACGATGTGTCGCGGAACCGAACGGAAAAAAAGTAGATTTTCTGATAGAAATCGCGTCCCGCGGGCCACGAAATCAAAAGCGAGCTTGAATTGTGAGCGTCTGCTATTTCCCGAAGAAAGCAATTGACAACCCGTGATTTATTTGCAGGTTTTAAATCGCTCTGTTGCCGTACAAACGCTGAAATATACCAGTGTGTAAAGGAATGCTCAGAACAAACGTAACAGCGGCCCCCGAGATATCTATCACCATCCGTGTGCGGGGGAAAAATTTAACATTTGTCGACAAAACTCCCCCAGCAGAAAACTCTGACTGCCCAATAAGCACCAGAGAAAGCTAAAGATGGAGACTTTACCCGAGGATTGGGCAACATCATCATGTTTAACATTTACCTACGTCAGCTAACTTGCCCCGTCGTATTTTGTTCGAGAAAGCTCTCGTTCTCGACGCCCTCACCAAGGCTAATATCTAATCCACCTATAATGACGATCCAAATCGAAAGTCGCAGTTTTGCTGGATATTCCAACAGGCTAGTTTTAAGCCGTAACCTTTCAGTGGTTCACGCATAATACCATACTCAAACGGATCTAGCTTCTGTTCGGACAGCATCATCAGTCTTCTTCAGTGTAAACGGTTTTAAGAATTGAAAGATCGCAACCAGCTGCTTTGTAGACAGCTGGTTGCGGAAATTTACGCCGTCTGTAATTATCTCTACGGCAGCCGAGCTACTTGAAGTCATCGCAACTATAAACTACAGGTTGCAGCGACCAACGTTTATAGATGAACGTTGGTAGCGACTGCATTCTCGCATTCCCACGCATCACTCCGAACAGAAAGGCGCTAGTTTCGGTTTGAAGTCGGTACCTTTTCTACAAAATAGATGGCGGGAGCATTAGTCGTCTGCACTCGGTGCATTTGGCGAGTTCGTTTGAGTCCAGTTTTCCGTGCAACACTCCGTGAGTGCGATGCATTCTGGGAGAGAACTCGAACGGTGCCAGTGCGTGTGAAACGAACTCGCTAATAGAATGCTGTAAAATGCTTCCCTGGCGTTATATCCTTCCAAAAATGGTTGATTTAGTGGTTTTCGATGATGCTCTACAAGTTTCTAATTGAAACCGTATGTCTATTTCCACTCATTAAAAAGTTACTACTTCCATAAAGCCCTGCATGCAACACGGCGCGCGTTGCACTCTGGGAACTAGTTGGCCAGGGAAGAGGGTGGCATGGTTTCGGTTTCGATTGACACGTCGACAAGAGATGGTTTTCTAGTCCCGAGAGCGTCATTTGTGGTCTCTAAACTAACCTAAATGGCCAGGCCTCGAAGCTTTAGCACAAGCCTGAGACGTATAGCTTGTCTTAACACATGCTTGTTGTATTTTTGTACTTGAGCCTTCCTTTTAACGTTCCAATCGAGGTATGTGGACGAGCCTGTGCTGGGAATCTCGACGCTGCGAAGCTCGGGGATCTTGCTTGTATACGAATCAGCAAGCTGTAGCAACCAATAAGTATGCATACATCGAGCTCGCGCCTTTACATTAGTGTTGTTGATCAGGAAGTTTGTTTGTTTCGTGCGTCCATAGACGAAATATTACTTTTTGCAATTACTGTATGTCTTAATATGCCTGAGTGTGCGAGGTAAAACTCGGAGGCGCCATTGAAAAGCTCAATTTTGACACACTTCTTATCTCTTCTGTACTGACCCGCAGCACTGCACGAAGTGAAGTCCCCACCCGCTTGCATTTCATTAATGTTCAACATGCGAATGCACATAAAGTTATCCTGCAATCATATAGGCAAATTCGCACATACAGACCGTTTTGAAAAAGCGAAAGTCGAGCACTTGTGTGAAGAATGTCGCACCGTTCCCCAGAAGTGCGCCGGACGGGCATGAACCCCCATGCGCACCGCATAGGGGTTCATGCCCGTCCGGCGCACGGTGCGACATTCTTCACACAAGTGCTCGAACGAATTCAAAGCGCGTTTGACGGTTGCTAATAGACATAATATTTGTTTTGTGTTTGTTTTTTTTCCTGCCTAAGTATGCCGAGATAATTTCAGACACACCGTTCAGGCGCAGATCTTGGGCGTCAGTAAAAGCTCGTCCAAAAAGGCTTAGCGAGGAGTAGGGGACGCTTGTTAGGACCTGCGTCGTAGCTAGCCGGTCTCAGCATTTGCGAGAAATTAATCTTCTACCAGCATAAAATTCGAATGGGAGATATATGATGACACGAGGAAGACATCATAGTAACTTTTGTGCAGTAGTGAGGTCGAATTTATTGCGTTTCCTTAAAAGCTCATGCGTAAGCGCTGGGCGCAACTTTGATACCCCGTAAGGATGCGGCTTTCTTTTCGCCCGATGAAGTAACAAGAAACGGACGTTTGGCAAACAAAACATTTATAAGGCTCCTGATGAACAAATTTCAGTTCTAGTTCAGTAGTACTAGACGGGATTATTGAAATTGAGCTCAAAGATGCACTCGTAGGGTGAGGTGACTAAGCCACGTCTTACTACGTTGGCATACGCACGCACAATATCCGGTGTTTCGGGAACCAAGGAAAGTGCCCCGGTTTTCGTTTTGTATCGCTCGAGAGTGAGTCTATTGTACGTTCGTGAAAAGTCAGATAATCGAAAACGCAAGCAGCGCGTTCGGTCACGGAGTGATAGCATGAGGTGAAGCTGCTCAGTCGAAACCGAAACTGAGTGGCCAACTAGTTCCCAGAGCGCACTGCGTGGTATTTCGCCGCGATGGGGCGCGTCGGTTTTGGAAGTAGTCCAAAGATTAGCCACCCACATAATGTCCGCCTGGTCGTATAACCCACCTGCACAAACCGTATTAGTGTAGCTTTCAAGGTTTTTTTTTAAACAAATGTGTAAGAATAAAAAAAAAAAAAAAACACCCTGTATATACCGGGTGTTTTTGCGAAGACTTTCAAAAATCCTAAAAATTAGGGCGATTGAAAAAAGAAGAAACTCTCTTCGGGAACAAACTACCAGCCACGGCGGACGTCAGGAATTACCAAAAAGCTACTAATTAGCCAGATAAATAATTAAAACTTGTTAATTAACTTTTTAATTAGTGGAAATAGACATATGATTCCAATTAGAATGTTTCTGAGCGTTATCGAAAACCACTAAATCAGTCATTTTCAGAAAGACTTTAAGCGCTAGAGAAGAGTAGTAGCGCACTAAAATTACCACTCGTGAAGCAGGTACAAGGCTGGGACTAGATAAGAGGCGGAAAAATCGCGCGGGCGCCTTACCGCAACCGCTAGCCTTCTACCTGCTCCACGAGTGGTAACTTTAGTGCGCTACTACTCGTCTCACGCGCTCAAAGTCTTGCTGAAAATGACTGATTTAGTGGTTTTCGATAACACTCAGCAACTTTCTAATTAGAACCATATGTCTATTTTCCCAAATTAAAAAGTTAATTAACAAGTTTTAATTATCTGGCTAATTAGTAGGTTTTTGGCAATTCCTGACGTCCGCCGTGGCTGGTAGTTAGTTCCCGAAGAGAATTTCTTCTATTTTCAATCGCCCTAATTTTTAGGATTTTTTAAAGTCTTCGCAAAAACACCCAGTATATATATATATATATATATATATATATATATATATATATATATATATATATATATATATATATATTTTTTTTTTTTTTTTTTTTTTTAATTTGGGGCGTTGTTATCGCGTTTTAAAACACCCGACAGCGAGCTCCTGGCACTACTCGGCTGTGCGCAGAGCCGGGGATGTCGCGGAGATGTTCCGCTTGAGGAGCAGAGTATCGCAAGGACCTAAGATTTTTGACGCCGAGTATTGCCGGAAGCGAACGGTCGCTCTTGCACGAGACAAGGCGGGCGCAACATGAAGCCACTCAGAAGCGCGCGCTTGGGGGTTTGATTGACGTGGTGGTTGTGTCGTCTGCTTGCTCACGGCCACTTTGAAACTGCACTCTCATTATAAAAATAACACGATTACACGTGGCTAGGTGGCACACACAATCTCCCGAAATTCAAGAAGCTTTCTGGTCATCATACTACAGTGCAAGGTCCAAATTTCTCGAGCGCAAAGCGAAACATATGCCCAGTCTCAAACCCGGCGCTCCTCAAGGCGGCTTGCCCTCAAGATCGAAAGTCGAATTCGGCGCAGTGACCACTTCTCCGCCAATGATGAGCTCGCGGTGATAGGGCAACTGAAGAAGGTAGGGCGAGGGTAAGACAGGCCGGGGAGGAGGAAGCAGACGGAAAGCTAAAGAGAGGAGGTTTCCCCCTCTCTTCTCTAGCGTTCTGTCCGTTTCCTCCTCCCCGGCCCGTCCTACCTTCTTGAGTTAGTTTTTTAGTTACTCTAGCAGAACCCGAGCGGGGAAATCAAAATGCCTCCCCTTTCTCGGATGAAAGCGTATTGAAAAAAACTTTTCAGAAATTTATTCCGCAATTGAGAATCACATCACATTGTTTCGATACATACATACACAAACAACATAAACATTCAGTGTGAACCGTACCGCAGAAAGTGTTCCGTTAACGTGTTGAGCATCTTTATTCTTGCTATCACGAGGCAATATATGAATACCTGCTTACAATATGTGCAATCACAAAGGGCCTTCAACTTAAATTGCAGCTGTTCGAGAAATTGCGTGGTATGTATACCAAATGTGTAAAAAATATATGCTTTATGTATATTTACCACCGCTTACCATTATACAGATAGAGAACCCCTTCAACACCTCTATCGAGCAAAACTCAATTGGAATATAAATAAATTTCAACTCGATAACATGGTCGTCTTTCAATCACTTGTTATCATTTCCCTCTGGCAAAGGGATGTTCAACAGACGCCTCCTAATCTGCTGGAAAGTAAATAGATTACTTCAAAATGTGCAGACAAGTTAACCATCTAAAATTAAATATAATGGCAAACACACACATTTAGTGTTAGCATACCACCAGCAGTGGAGAGTTGTGGGTTCAAATCCCATGGAACTTACGTTTTTTTTTCTTTACAGGTCCATATCATTGCTTTTATTGATGTCTATTAATCTGCATGTTTGTAGCTTATCCTCATAAACATCAGTCAAGATAAAAAGTAATTAGTGAATACAATACTTTTTTAAAGGTCACTGTGCCTACATTGATAAATTAAAAAAGGGGGACATTGACAGGGTCCCTGAAATGCTTGTTACTTCATTTGACTCACGATAGTGGGTCGTTGCAAACATGCATGCTAATACCAAGAGAGTTCAATCAACACTGACATGGACATAAAATTTGTCCACGAAAATATTTTAATGTTTTTAAAAAAAGAGAATTGTCAGCCAGATGGAAAGATAACTTTGTAAGATGAGGGAAGATAAAATAACAATTAAGACAAATTAATCTTAGGAAAAAATTATTAAAATTTTAAGAAAACATTTTTAGCATGTGCTTGAGTCCAACTCCATCATTTCTTTCTATCCTTTTAGAAAAGCACACACAATAGCAAGGTTTGAAAACACGTACATGGATAGAGCATAAAGTTCACAAGTATGATGGCACTAGGCCTCTGGAGTCAGGCACATTCAGTTGATTTCATGCTCATTTTGCTTTGGTTACGAAAAAAAAAAAAAAAGATGAATATTTACAAAAACAAATTGTAGCTACATCGAGATTAGAACTAAATCAAACATTCTCATTTATGTACATTCAGCAAGGGGGAAGAAATACGAATAACCTACGATTGACAGCCAATGACAGCAGTGAGGTCGAGCAAATGTGCTGTGGTCTTTAGAGCCATAACTTAGACAAACTGCACACAGATCGTACATACAGATTAAATTATTAACTACAATCACGCATCAGCATGGAAAGAGACAATGCACTCTCAAGCTTCCTAAAGACGACAGCTAGGAAGATGTGGGGACAATCTTCTTGCAGGAGCTTCCAAGCTTTTGTACTGTCTTCAAGGAGTGTCGAAAATATATGCGGCATCAAGCTCTACCATACCTATATACAAATGAGCTAATTGCCTTCCCGGGATAGGACACTCGGAACTGACATCCAAGCGATCACACTCCTCTCTCAAGGCACTGTAGATCTTAGAGAAGTTGCAATGATCTGATGTTCTGGGAACCCTGTAGTGCAATGTAATTACTGTTGTGATCATGACCATTTGCCACAATTCTCTGTAGTCTCATAGGTCATAAGAGCCCAAATTTATATTCCACATTACTGGTGCAAATGAGGCTTAAAGAAAGAAGTGTATTTAAAAATGAATGCACAAAATCGTCTAACACCAATAAAGATAAAGGGGACACATACATAATTTTTGAAGTTTTTTTTTATACCGCAAATGTTGCGATGTGCAGTAGTTGTGCACCCAAGCTCATCAATGCTTTGGCCATGGCACTTCATAAATAAGACACAAATAAGTTCATCTAGCACAGTATCAGGTTCCAAGGTGATACCAATGGGGCACATTGAGAGCCATTTAAATATCTACATTCTGAATATGGAGTCACTCACTGTACATCAGTTTGTCCCCTAAAAAGTCTTCCATCCTCCATTGCTATGGGGTGTCAGCTTCGAAAATCACCCTTTTTGTAGTCTTTAGATGTTTGTCCTGGATGACATACGACAATCCCTAGGTAGTCCTACTTTTTTTTTTTGAGTACCTAGAAACAACAAAGCAATAGGCAAGAACAGATACTCTCTTCAAGACAATTAGAGGCAACAAACAAATGCCTCCAGACTGCCAAGTTTTGGGGATTTATTTCTTTCTCAAAAGGATGGTGACAATCTAAAGAAAATATAATTTATTATTTAGCAGAAAACACTAAAATATGGTGTCAAGCCACTACATAAAATATTTTTTTGCTGACGAGTGACATATTTGAGGACAAAAAAAGCAGTGAAATTGAAGTCACAGGACCAGTGCAGGGCACTGCAGCTTATGGTGAAAAGGTGTCGTACGATTTACTCTCCACAACTATACACTCAATTCATTTTTTGTGTTTTGGTGGCCATAATGATTACGTCCATAGATTCCATTACCTTTATTGATGAATATGTGCCTTAGATGGCCTAAGTGACAGAAAATATTTCATGCACTATGTTCTTACTGCTTGCGAAAGGAGGCGAGAGCAAATTTAAATATCCGATTCTCGACTGGCGGCTTTCACGTGCAAGAAAACCACAATTTGAAGCGCAATATTTTTTTTTTTTCTTCTGGGTAGTGGGCTTTTTGTGGTTTGTTTTAGTAAACGTCTCTCTAAGCTTCATTGCAAGTGACTGTTCTGCTCACATTCTAGCCATCTGTTCTGGTATATATGTAACTTCAGAAATTGTATGGAACCTCCATTAGAATACATATTACATTAAAGTTCATCACCATTCATATGTCATATGATACATCTTAGTGGTTACTGTTATCAGTATCACGGTGCCCAAAGTGAGGACAACATGTTACGGCTCATTTCAGCCAAGTTAAATGTTCATTTGTCTTCAGAACTAAAACTGGAGGACTTGTGAAACCAGACATTACAAATTCAACTGCAGCGATTCTGCAACACAAACCACTCATGATAAATTCCTGGTGTGCAAACTGCATTCGTTGTAAATTCCTGCACTGCAGCCCAGGTGTCTCGGTAATTTAGTATTAGGTTAGGGTTTGCCATTCACATTTGGAAAGTCCATTACAAAACCGTAACAGATTTTTTCATATGTCGCGATTATGATAGCCTGTTATGACGGAGCCATTATGAGTGGGCCACACTATCGTTTGAAAAGATTAAAATTCAGTTTACATCCATCAAATGGAGAAACAATATGAGTCAAACTTGCACACAGGGCTGTACATAGAAAAAGCATGCAGGTGAGCCAGCATTCACTCAAATGGTTCGCAACTAAGGACTACTGCAGTAGACAAGGGACCTTGTCCACACACTTTTCACCTAGCCTCCATACATTCATGCCCAAAGTTACCAACCCCATTAAAGCTGCACATTGTCACGTGTGACCGAGATCTCAGTCTTTTTCCAAGAAAACACATCACACCGATTCATCACAGGACCGACAGAAGGCAAAACAACAAGGCCATTAATTTATACAACGTCTCGCTAAAAACGTCCAAATCTAACACACTAGGAAGAGGGCAACTTTAAAACGGAAACAAATTGGAACTTAAAAACCACATTTTTTTTCTTAACACAAAGTGTATTTGTCGATCGACGTGATAGCAGTCGAAAGACCTGAAATGTCTCTTCACATGACTGGGCTCTGTACTCAACGGACGCTCTTGTTACGGAGATCTTTCGCTGGGAAATGCAAAACTCCCTTTGCTCGCAAGACGAAGTGGGGTCCATTCGGTGTCGCATTCTTGTCATGCTTTCTGCGACGTCAACCCGTCGGTCACGAGGGGTCCTGACCCCACTGCACCGTGGCCTCCAACCACTAATGCAGTAATAAGTTCCGGACCGGGCCACAAAGTGATTGAATCCACGGCCTTACAAGGTGCAATGCACAGCGTGACAGAGGTGTCTGTTCCACTCTTGCGCAGATACAAGCTGCTCTGGCCGACTCGGAAGATCTTTGGTGGGAAGGTGGGGCTAGTCAAACTTGGTGCTCAATGCTGGGAAGTACACCACACACAGACTGTGGCCATAGTCACACACTACCGCATCTGCGGTGCAGTGTACTTGGTGCACGGCAATGCCGGAGTCTCCGGGACCTAAAAGGACCATTTGGACGGCTTCGCCTTGATTCACGTCCCACAAGATCAAGTGGTCCTGCATCAGACAAAGAGATGGTACGATGAGTAAGATGAGGTAAGTAAGTAAACTTTGAGCGGTAAGGTTAGATATTAACCCCGCGATCCCTCCAGCCCAAGGAATTCTCCACTACGATCTGCAACGATTAGACCTAGGGTATAAAAAACTTTGCTTTTGAAAACCAAAAACAAAAAAAAACAAATATTACAAAATTTGATTGGGGCTAACTTGAACCAAGTTACCTCTGAACAAAAGATTTGTTCATCCAGAAAAATCCACAAATCGCCGCCTTGGCAAATCCGTGCTACGTACGGCCTCGACATAAACCCATCGTCGTTTGCAACGATTTATTTTCAACGTAACAACTGTGCAATGAACCGTCAATGTTAAATGACATAGTGCTTCTTACTAGTTACACTAAGCTAAGTTTACAGAAGAACCACTCTGCACTATAAAAAGTGACACCACGTTAAGCATGTGAAATAGTAAGTGAAGCACAAAAATACCTAATTCAAAACAGACACATAAGCTGCCAATAGATCGATAAGTTGAAAGCATCTGATCCAAGTGCCGTGCTATACTCCGCGACAACTTTTCTTGGCAATGCAGTGGAAGGTACGTCCCGCATCCCCTCTCCCATTTTGAGTGTATGCAGGCTTTCCTCTTCCCCCATTTCCGAGGAGAGGAGGAGAGCCCACACACACTCAAAATGGGAGAGGGGACGCGGGACGTACCTTTCACTGCATTGCCAAGAAAAGTTGTCGCCGAGTATAGTCATTGTGGAGAATCTTTTAAGCTGACCGTCTAGCTTGCTATCACCTTGAACATTGTTTGCTCAGACAACGTTCACTAGACTCTATATATTCCATGTACACACTGCTGGCACACCCACGGCGGACTAGATTGACGAAACTCACCTCCTTAGCCGTGACAACAATGTTGTCTGACAGAAGGGCCATGTTGTTGCACAATGTGTTTGCCTATTGGAGGAAAAGCGAAGAGTGATACATTAACTGCCACAAAACACAGCAATCAAGTAACATTAGAAATAACGTCTTGGAAGCCTCAAAGTAACAGTCGACATTTCTTTAAGAGACCTACACTCTTTGGGGGCCTGAAGAAGTTCTTAGCGAAACACCAGTTGCCACCCTGAAACTTCTAGATAATGCAATGGTTACAACAACACCTACCCTACTGTGCCATGTTAATTAGCCACACTTCAATTCAAAAAGGTCTCTTGATCCCTCACAGGTGCCTTCAACCTGGGCAATGGGCTCAACGTGGCACACAATGTCGACATGTTGTATCAAATGTGTTTCACAAGAGGACATGTTTTGTCATGTTTCCTAACAGGACATGTTGTGCCAACATGTTTTCACAACAGGAAAACATGTTGGTTATGAAACATGTTGGCACAACATGCTGTCTTCTTGTGAAACATGTTGGCACAGCATGTTGTTCTGTAATGAAACATGTTGGCCGAACATGTTTTCACCACAGGAAAACGTGTTGGGCCAACGTGCTTCATAAGAGGACAACATGCTATACCAACATGTTTCACAAGACAACATGCTGTGCTAAAATGTTTCATAACTGGACATGTTCCAAAACAAAAACATGTTTCACTAGAAAAACAACATGCCGTGTAAACATGTTTCCCAAGGGGACACTTCCCAAGAGGACAACACGTGCTTGCCAACACGTTTCACAACAGGACAACATGAAGTGCGTGAGCATGTTGTGCCAACATGACAACACAACCCAACATAGTCCTAATGTGACATCCGTGCTTTCTTGGCTGAGGTGTCGGCTAGCGTCACGCGGGGCGCCCACCTGGTAGAGCGTGTGCAGGAGGTGCCCCTGGCTCTTCTCCCAGATGCGCAGCCTCGAGTCCGAGCCGAGGGAGAGCATGTAGAGGCCCGTGGTGCGCAGGGCCAGCACGGCCCCTCTGTGCGCCGTCAGGCTGTAGGCACACGTGCCCGTCATCAGGTCCCAGACGCACACCACTCCATCCTGGCAACCGCTCACGGCCGCCGACGCCCCAGGCTAAGAAGACACGGTAGGGGAATGAAGCAGGAGCAAGATCTAATTGGTAATCCCATAAAAGGCGTTCCTAATCTCATTCAGTACACCGAAAATTCCCTACAGTTAACCTTTCTGCTATTTTAAAGCATGAAATGCTCTTTAACAGAATCTGTCCCCCAATCCCACAATTTGGTTTGTCCTCCGTGCATTTTCTGCTAAACTTAGCGGGGATATTGACGTCGCGTGACTTAAACACCAATTCAGTTTCCCTGTTAGATTTAGCGGGAAAATTGATGTGACGTGACCTATGGAGTAGTTCAGTTTCCCCGCTATATTTAGCGAGAAAATTGACCGCTTGTCCCATACACCAATTTAACTTCCCCTCTAAATCTGACTGGGAAATGGATGTCACGGGACCTATACACCAACTTAGTTTGCCGCTAAACTTGCCGGAAAAAATGACGTCGTGTGACCTTTGTACCAAGTTACTAGTTTCAGTGCTAAAGTTAGCGGGGAAATTAATAAAAATGTACGTTCTTCACTCCACAAAACAACTGTTTAACATCTTCTAAGCAAATTCAAATGATTACTCCTTAAATACTGTGTTTCATGCATTACAGGTCTTTGGGGCTAAATGTCACTGTGAATTTTTTTCACCTATTATTTATTGGCAGATACTGCTGAACCCATCTTTGGGATCGTGGCAGGGTGACAAAACATACCAATACAAAGCGTTCAAAATACAAAAGAGTTACACTTACTCAAAGCACAGTGTGGAAATAAATGTGCTTACAAATTCTTCGTTAGTAATATTTATCCACCCCACAACTACCCGAGGAAAAAAAATTGATAAATATTGATGTGCAGTTAGTAGGATGAAATGGTAATTTCCAGTACATAACATTTCCAGTAGGAAATGTTATGTACTTACCTACATTATTTTGATACTGCCCATTAATTAGACGGAATAAAAATCAAAGTCAGCATGTAAGGTTTTATATCTTGAATTAAACAAACCCAAACCGTTAAATACGCTCACAAACAACGTTGAAATATGCACTGAAATGTGCAAGCTGCATCTCTAAGAGTAGAATGGTTACTAATTAGATAGCCAAGCAAGCTTCATAGTGAACCTTGGAGTGTCATCCAAAGATAACATTCCACATAACTAGGGTTACTGGTTTAGTGCTATTTACTACTTGAAAGGACAAATAAATGCATGCTAAATATATGATTGGAGAAAAAACAAAACAAAAAAAACATCTGCTACAGTATAGACCACTTACAACGCAACCGCTTATAGTGCAGGACCGGGTATAACGCGGCTTTTTCAAACCACCGGTTCGCCTCCCATAGAACTCCATGTAATTGCATACCACTTAAAGGGGTACTCCACCGATTTTTTGAGCCGCCTCAACTAACTATATTTTCTGACTCCCCGGCCTTTACTCTCTCCGGTATGCTATTTAGAATCGCGAAATTCATAATAGTTATTGCGAAATCGGCAAATGAAAATGATGCAAAAACCAACATTCAAATATACGCGCGCTTTTCAGGGCCGTGACGTCAGTGGCAGGCAGGCTTGCCAGTCGAGCAAGCAGCCAAAAAATAGAATATGCCAATCATTTGTTCCGTGCTGGAGCGCGGGTACTGCAGCGAGCTTCCCAAGCATTCATTTGACACCATGAAACTGCTTCGAATCAGCTTAAAACAAAATCTACAGCCCAAAGAGTGAACCCCTGCCTTCCACTGACGTCACTTTTTCATTGTTGCCAGTAGAGACTTCGAGCTTGAAAAACACGGTGAGGACCAAAACTGTAAATTCAATAACTTCGCGAAAAAACAATATTTTGACCTAATATTTGGGATACTATTTTCCCGATGTTTGTTGGTTAGTTTAGCAAAATTTCAAGCAAATCGGAGACAATGAAAAAATCGGTGGAGTAGCCCTTTAAAATGCAGGCGCGCAAAGGGAAATACCGGTTATAGTGCGGTTTCAGGAGCAGCCCGCCGACCGCGCCGACTGATCCGCGCAGCGAGCACGCTTCCCTGTGCGACACCAGATAACGGCGCGAGCCGCAAGCGGCACTCGCGGGGCAAAGAGGCTGCTCGAAGAAGCGGGGAGAAGCGAAGAAAGAGGCTTCAGTTGCCATGGCGACGGAGGGACGCACGCACATGTCGTTCACGTGCGTGCTGTGCGTCCCTCCGCTTTATTGGAAACAACCGCAACGACAGACGAATTGCAGGTCGAGGAGAAGTGTTTGCGCGCGTTGCATGCCGGTCACGGGCCGGCTGCTTCTATCCGCAAACATGATGTCGGTGGTGAATCTTGTGATCGTTGGCGTAGACGGCGTGGTGGACGCTCATCGTTCCCCGTAAAAGCGCTATCCTTGGCTGTGAATTTTCGTTGTGTGTCGCTATGATAACCCAGCACGTACTAGAAGGAAAGATCCACCTATTCGTGCGGCGATGTCGGCGGCACTCTCAAGACAGCAGAAACGCCCGTGTCGTCGTGTTTGTTTACTTCGACTACAGTGGTGCTTTGTAAGCATTTGTGTTTTTGAACATCGCCCGGATTTCTTATTTGGAGCATTCCATGCCTGTGCTCAAGTTGAAGGTATTAATGGCGCGTACCGTATAAAGGATGCAAATTTTCACGCGTTTTCATCGCCGGAGAAAAGTGATTAGGGTTAGCAAACCTGAACGCTCGCAACGTCCGTCCGCAACCCACAACGCCGTTAAAAGGCTGCGCCAGGCAAAAGTCGCTCATTTCTTTTAAAATGTGTGACACACTTGAGAGAGAAGTGTACTAGTCTGGTGAAGTAAAGACTTTCCTCAAACTAAGCTTTATTTTTCATCTAACATAAAATAAATTCTTTTACAAAGGTAAGTTGTCTGATGGCATGTATTATGGCCTCAAAAATTGATGCTTTGGTTATAGCGCGGTACCTTTATAGTGTGGATTTTCGCGACTCCCGCGACATACGTTATATGCGGTCTACACTGTATTTAGCACTGTTTGCCTTAGCTTGCACTGGAAGTCGATAACGATGGAAAGCTATAATAATGCAGATGACAGTAATAGAACTGCTAGCTTTACTCAATGTAAACATCCTGGAAAGCTTATAGCAACCAAACGAGTTAAGCACCCCCTTACATGTCTACTAAACCTGATTTCAGTTCACCGCTCCTCATAGTCACAACAGTCAGGAACTCACCTCAACATGAATAGCAGAAATGCCACCGCTGTGCCCATGAAGAGTGTACACGCACATTGCTGTGTCGCAGCGGAAGACCTGTCAAACGGCAAACACGAGGCAATCAGCAATGTACATGAAGCAAAAATGCCACCTTCACTTAAAGGCCTGGCACACCTCTGACAGTTACACTGTTGCCACCAGGTACTATCATAATCACTCTAATGATAAAAGTATCTCTCTCTCGATAGTTACTTATTATTAATGTTACCAGTGTTACATTAAAAAACCAGACCGGAAGCAATGGTTACGACAAAACACCGCGACGCCCAGGCACCCATGTAACGAGCATCACGGGTCTCGAAACTCACAAGCATTCAAAACAACCCTGCTTTCCTTTTCCCCCAAACCGACAGTCAGAAACAAGATACGTACATTGCTTTTCGCATAAAGAACAAGTGCAGAATTCGCCCAACGGTGCTTCCCGTGGTGGCCATTCGCAAACGCAGAAGAAACAACTCTGCAGTTTCGTTACCCCAACATTTTTCGGAGTCCTTACAAAACTGGGATTATACGAGCCTCCGCTACGTGTTGACGGGGCACCGCAACGAAGATAATGAAGGCAACAAAATCAAGAAAACGAAAGACAACAACCTTGAGTAGCCGATCCAGACTGCCCGTGACTATCTGGCCCCCCTCGACGCACACTGCGGAGATTGGCTGCGTATGTGCCCGCACGCTGTTCACCCAGACGAGCTTGGCTTGGACGTCTCCGTTTTCCATCGCTTCGCATGAAGAGAAAAGGCAAAGTCAGACGTTGGAATCGAGACAAACCCGAGCCAAACAACGGTGGGCGAAAGAGGAGACCGCACATACCCGCTCCTCTGTCGGAGTGCCTGCGGTCGCAATGCATTTCCAGGTGCCAGCACTCGAGGACTCCATTTATTCGAGACGTGATGATCCTTCAAAACAATGGCATCGAACGACATGTGATGGGTTCTCGAATAAAACATATTCTGTCGATGAGTGAGGGCCCCAAGTTAGGCTAGGAAGTAGGCAAGACGTTCAAGATAATAAATTCTCCGATCGCCAAACTCGTAATCGTGTACATCAGGGGTTCTCAAACTTTTTGGTCTCACGGAACCCCAGGAAGCCTCAAAGACTGCCGCGGAACCCTCCCCGACATCCATATTTGCCGACCGAGAAGCAACAGATGCACAATTGTAGGCAATTTTGCTTGTGTTGCTTGCCATATATCCCCACCATATCAATCGCAATGTCAGTGCGAAGTGAGATGGAGGCGCTTTGCATGGTCCTGCTGCGCAGCCTGCGGCGTGGGGGGGGTGAGGAGAGGGGGTTGCAATTTGGGTGTTCACGGAACCCATGAGACCAGCTCGTGGAACCCCTGTGTTCCCCGGAACCCAGTTTGAGAACCCCTGGTGTACATAATGAATTCACTTCTCGCCGGTGTCCTTTCCACGTGACCCTGGGTGCACTTCCTTCAAATTACGATGTCACGAAGATCGCCTTGCTAAAGCAACCTTGCAGACCAATATTCAGCAGGGTTAAAAGATCTTACTCCTTGTCAACCGTTTGCAGCAAGAGGGCCCCTTTTGTGATCGCTCTAGAGAAAAGATAATTCATAATGGGCGCAATTCATAATGGGCACAAATTCATTCCTGGGAACCCCACAGAGATTGCATAGGTCTAACTTAGCTGCTTTCCGCAAATGGGAAAGGGGAAAATTCATGCCTCTTCCCTTTCCCATCTGTAGGCCAGTCTCACATACTTTTCGTTTCGCAAGTGGTACAGCTTTGCACGAAATGTCGTACAGAATAAAGTGATAAACAGCAAGATACAAATATCCCATAGACCTGCTTGACTTTTCTAATAATTTCCCACGAATTCAACGGCAATTTCAGTACTGTTTCATGGTATTTCAAACTTATTAAATGAAATAGTAAATACCACAGGAGCCACTAAAATATACATCACTCGCGTGAGAAAATGTAAAATGTGCAAAGATAAGAAAGTACTTTCACTATTAACCTCTGTTACATAGCCAAAAGCTGGATAAAAACATAAAAGTGTCACCAAATTCTTTACACCAGTATGCACACTACCACAGAAGCATTACCAGCAGCTCCAAAAGAACATCACTAGCGTTTCACCCCACTTCACCAACACAAGCAACTCACCGATGCCCCGAAACTGTGAGCGTCGTCACACCTTCCGCCGTGTTGTCTGTGTACACGCCACAAAGCCGACCAGTCAGCATATGCCACAGCTGCAATGCACAGACAGAAAAATCAACTCGAGCAAGAGGCATAGAAAATTGCTCCAGCCGATTCTTCCCTTTAATGTGTAAGGTTCATTAAATTCCCGGGCAAAAAATTGGCCCTCTCTCAGATACATCGCAAAGGCGCACTAAATGCGTAGCGTTTATAGGTCCCCCGTGACGTTCCACACCAGGAAAGCATGTGGTCAGGTGACATAACGTCAGTGTCACAATGTCACATTGTGATGTAACCTGATGTCCCGTGACCAAATAATTTGATGTCACCATGTCACGTCATGGTTTCACCTGATGTCAGGTGGTCATGCGACGTCACGGTGCAACATAAAAAACGTAACTTGAGAGTTTCTTCCCTCGAGAATCGCCACCGTTCCGGCACAGCGACCTGACGCCTACCGTTCTGGACAGCGTGACGTCATCGGCATGATGACCCCGTCGAGGCTACATCCCAGGTGTAGTCCTTAAAACTTTTCGAAGCTAGCCCCGTAGACGCAACGCACAAAAAAAATCAATCGGGTCACCGCAGCTTTTGTGGTTCTTACCTCCAGTCGCCCGTTCTGGCAACCGACCACCAGCCAGTGGCCGTAGCAGCCCATGCACCAGACGGGCTGGAACTCGAGACGTGTGGCCTTGGCATCCCCCGCCGCACCAACCTCTTCGTTACCGAGCTCGTGCTGAACTTGGTGCACACTTGAGTCTCGGTCCTCGGATTCCCGCGACACCGACAGCAGGCCGGGCTGGAGAAACCTGGACTCGGCGAAATGGACATGCAGTGAGCAGATTGATTTCTCTACGGTGGAACCTGCAGTCCTTCTTTGATAGGCGTGTTCAGCGTCCTATGCTACCCGTGCGTCAAAATTGGCCCCAAACGGCAACGAATTCGGTCGCAAGAGTCAGCATGTCACACCGTCGAACGACGCAATCACGGCGATCAATCGTAAAAGTTCCGTCAAAAAAAAAACAACAACTTAGTTTTCACCCACAATTTGCGAAGAAACGAAAGCGATAGCTGTAGCACGGTCGTGCAATGTGGGTGGAATGGTGCCGCCATACTCGAGGACGGAGGAGTGACGTGATTAATTCTCATAGCTGTTGTACTTGGCACCGTGGATGCCACTAATGACCGTCACCAGCGGTCCGTGAAGTAAGCAGGTAAGTGCGGTGGAAGTTTCTAAAACCATCCAACATTATGCGTACTAACTGGGTACTGCGAAAGTGGGATTTCGCAATAACGCGAGCAATGTCTGAAAACAAGTCTTTCGAGCAGATGACACAGAAGTTTCTCCCTTCTTCGCGCTGTTACTGCTGGGATGCCAGGGCACACCTCTCTTCCCTCTAGGCGCTGCGCGGCCGACGGGAAAAACCACTTTCCTGGCCTCGCGTCAAGAGTCAAGAAAACAAAGATTTTTCCCTTCTTCGCGAGTGTGGCGAGGGCAACGGACGAGGTCGAAATCTCTGCAAAGTGTTGTCCGTAAAGCTATCGCTTTGAAAGAAAAAGACGAGCAAACAAGAAATGAAAGCCGTTTACAATTCCCTGCAACGCCGGTTAGAGCGCAGCTTTTGAGGAGGAAGATGGAAGCGTACTGAGGGATAGGTGACTCCTTGAGGTCACGTGACCTCAGGGGGTCACGTGACTTCAGGGGGTCACGTGACCTTTGGGGGTCACATGACCTCAGTGGGTCACGTGACTTCTGGGGGTCACGTGACCTCGGGGGGTCACGTGACCTAAGGGGGTCACGTGAGCTGGGTGGGTCACGTGACCTCGCGGTTACGGCGACGGCAACGCCGCTCAAGCCAGAAACGGGCCCCTAAGAGCTGCGCTCTAAAAGCATCGCTGTCGTCGCGACGCCCCAACTTGTTGCTGCGGAAGCTTCCGTGGAACGTCTAGCCGAGATCGACCCGCAACACAGCGGGCGTTTGCCGCATTCGCCCACCGCCGTGTCGCCGCCAGGGTCGCGGCAGGCAAGAGCACGACACTCATATGATGCCGTCGGGCGGAAATCCACAAACTACAATAGAGGACGCAATAAACAGATCAGTCGGAGACGCGCTCGAGGCCACCATAACTTCAGCAACTGCTTTCCCGGATCGGCAAAAGTCGACGGTGGATTTTAAAGTATACCTCGAAAAGTCGTATCCCTTGCCGTGGTGGCAGTCCTCGGGTGTCAGCGCGGGTGACAGGGTGGCGGGGCTGCCTGGGTTGATGGAGAAGTCCGCAGAGTGGTCCCTGAAGTGCATGCTGCCGAAGCCGTAGTCACACGACTCGGTCGGGGAAGAACCGTAGGTGGAGTCCGAGGAAAAGCTGCCACTTGCGCGCAGGCTGTAGCTCTCCTGTTTCGGTTCTTTCAAACAGTGCCTGCGGAGGAACGAAGGGACGCCCCTGGTAAAGCGGTGCTCTTTGCCCCTGAAGGTCTAATGATTTGAGACGTTAACTGAGTATAAAAGCAGACGTGCCAGCTTTTAACTGCTCGGGTTGATCGCCATTGTTCTGCACACAAACGATCGTGCTAAAGTTTCGGAGTGTGCAGAAGCTAGCGTGGTGGTCGATTGGATCAACTAGAACTATGAATAACATTTCATTTTGTTATTTAACTCTATGAAAAACATTACAAAGCTAGAAATGTGAAACTTTTCATCCTGCGAAACTATGCATTCGCTTTAAAATCTGAAAAACTTTAAATCTCTTCACGCGGCAACTCAAAAAGATAAAGCCATAGGATACGCTGCCAGCAACTACTACTCTATTTCACTTTAACTGCGAGCGTAGCAGCCGCTACAAGAGCAAGCTCCAGGTTTTTAGCGTCCCTGACAAGCACACATGCTCACATAGTGCAATAATCAATCGGAGACACACGCTCGTGCTTGTAGCTTTGGCTTCACTCGCACATAAAGTGAAACAAAGTAAAGAGAGACGCACCTTCTTCTACTGAGGGTGCTAATGCATTCTCCAGTGTTTGCATCCCAGATCTTGATGTCACCATTGAGATCGGAGCTCACGATGGTGTTGTCTTCTGTTATGATGCATTCAACTTCCTAATGGAGGACAAGAATATAGCAAAGCATGAGCATTTACAAACAAACTACCATAGTCCTCCTTTTGTGTACCGTGTTAACATTGAAGGACCTGGATTTCAGTAAATGTCAAAAATGCAAAGCAAAAAAGCAAGAGTGACACTAAAGAAAATAAAAACTGATCTCACTGGTTGCTAAGTTGATGTTTTCTGATCCGGCTCGCTTTGTTATGGCAAGCTCCTATGCTACATGAGCCCAAAAACAAGTTTCTGGTTGTTACAACAGATTGCAGTTACAGGTAAAAGAATCACATGCAGGACAAAAATTTAGCAAGATAAGCATTTACAAACCAGCCTTCGTTTGTATACAAAGCCAATGAACCTGGCTTTCAGTCGATGTAAAAAACACGAGGTGAAAAGCAAGACAGGTGCTAAACAAAACTGAAATTGATCTCACTTGATGCTATGATGATGTTTCTTGAACTCACTTTGTTATGGTAGGCCTTTATGCTATACAAGCCAAAAAACAAGTTTTCGTTTGCAACAATACATCATTTCAGGTGCAAAAATCAGAGGCAAAGAAAAGAGCAGAAAGAAGTGCTTAATAGCATCATGCAGGACTACTGAGATACAAATGAAGCCCACTGGCACTGTATAATCCACAGTCATATTCTAGACTATAGCACCTGAAATGATAACAAAAAACAAGAGCAAAAAGTTAAGAAAGAATCAGTACACTAATGAACAAACACTGCTGCACTGACACAAACTTTCAAATAAAAAAAAAAAAAATCTTGAACCCGTATGAACTTTAACCCTTTTTTTTTTGGAAGCATGTGCGACACCTTTTGTAGAGGGACACTCTTATCACGAACAAAGGATTGCTGACTTTTTCTTTTTGTCTTTTAGAAAAGGAAGGCTATCATCGAAAATATAAGTAATAGAAAGTGCTCATTTGGGGCACAAACCCAGTCATTATTATCATTATTGATACCATTTTGCTTTGTTCATTCGCCATTCCGCAGTCATGAACTTGCGCCTCTCATTCTCATCTCAGTGAATCGTGTTTTCGGACTACGCCATCTTAGACGTTACGGCCCCGTCTGTTTTTCCACCACTGCAAAGTGTTGCTAAGAAGTGCAAAAGGTACTCCACTATAATGCTAAAAAAGAAAGCAGCGATTCTTGAGCTAATAGAAAGTGGCCAAGCACAAGTGGAGGAGTAACCCAAAGCAAGGCACTATTGAAGGCTTTTCTAAGCCCGCTTAGACGTAATAAAGGCAAGTTTTTAATCAGCCAATTTTTATATGACCACTCCATTATTCAGACATTTTTTCAGTCACTGGGAAGTCCGAAACATTGGTCGGCGACTGTGTATGAATGGGCCATTAACAGCGTTGCGTAGTGTACCCCCATGCAGATGTGTCGATCGAGACGCGACGACTGGGGGCGACGTTTTGCGCGGTGCCCTGACCTGAGAGTGCCCTCGGAGCTCGATGGGGTAGGTATCCATGACGAGGAAGGTGTCGGGGTCCTGGCACCCCGACGGGTACAGCGTGGACCAGGAGGTACGCCATTCAGCGTAGTTGCGGGAGCACATGCACCGGTACAGGGTGACGAATAGGTAGACGATGAACAGCACCGTCGGGATGGACAGCGCCAGCACCAGCGTCGCCTCGGCTCTGCTGGCCGGGTGGACCAGGCCGCCCCCTGGCGAGCTCTCTGCCGTGACGGCAATGCGAGTTAGACGCACGCGTAATTGCAGTTCCGCAATGAAGCGTCGACATTTTGCTTGCATAGACTTATAATCTTCAAGCATACTCTCTCATGTGCCTGAAAATTTGCTAAACACACCAATAAGCACAACTGAAATAGTAACCCAAATATTGGGCCAAAAATATTTTTTTTTCTTTTTTCCAGAAAGTTTTTGAATTTACAGTTTTAGTCCTCACCATGTTTTTTGATTTGAAAATCTCTACTGGTAACAATGAAAAAGGGACATCAAGAAAAGGCATGGGTTCACTCTTTGGACTAGATTTTGTTCCTAACTGATCACAAGCAGTTTCATGGTGTCAAATGAATGCTATGGAAGCTGGCTCCAGCATCCCTGCAGCAGCACGAAAATGCTGGGCATAGCCTATTTTTAGACTGCCTGCCCCACCCGCAAGCCTGCTGTCCCCTGACGTTGCGGCACTGAAAAGTGTGGGCATACTTAAAGGGCAACTCCGCTTCATTTTTGATATTTAGAAAACTATGTAGCCCTCTTCAGTATCATATAGGAAGACCCCATGTCAAATATTACAATCTAATTCCGTCTATATATTTAATAAACTGGCCAGCAAACCTCCAAGCGAGCCAAGTCGCCGAAATCTGCCAACTCTAGCGTGCGGCGCGAGGCGCAATCATTAGCACAGTCAATGCCACGGAGTTGAAGCAGCCGACATTGAGCCACTACGTCTGAGGCATGACTACGTCATTCTCACGTTTTGTTTGTTTTTACTTCTCAGAGCGAAATTGAACGATGACGTCATGAGTTTCTCTTCCCGCTGTTGGCTGACCGGGCGTTCACGTGATCACCGTAACGAGGATGCGCTAGTTTGCGCTGCCCTGTGCGCTTATCGGTCTGTTTCTCCGCTCCCCTTCTCTTTCGTCTTCTCCTCTTCCCCCTCTCCCCTGGGCCACCACCGTCCACGCCATGCGAAGCGACCTGCCCGCGTCGCGTGTCCTGTCCCTCGCCCCCCCGAACGTCACAAGACCACGTGGTTCGGCGTGACGTGGCCATAACCCTGATGACCCGAGACCAATGTTGCCTGACACAACCGAAGTTTCGGTTTCGGTATCAGCTGATGTTTAAATTAGGATTACACAAATAATATTCCACATTTCGCGAATCAGAAGACGTAGAGTTGTTTAGCAGTGCTTTGTGAATTTGAATAACATGTAAGCCTAAATCTTTCGGAATTGAGCGGAGTTGCCCTTTAAATGTTGATTTTGGCATAATTTTCACTTGCCGATTTCACAATAACGATTATGAATTTTGTGATACAAAATAGCATACCAGAAACGGTAAAGGTCGGTGATTCTGAAAATATATTTAGTTGGGGTAGCTCAAAAACATCGCCGGAATACCCCTTTAAGAGACTCAGGCTAAGAAGTCAGCAGTCCGACATGACTCTCTGGAGGCCCCAGAATTGAGCTGACCAGTTTTCTGGCAGTGCAAGGTAAGGGAAACAAAAGTAGCCACGATGCACCCTAGATAAAATATGTGGAGTAACGAATGATTATATCCAGAAATGCGAGGTCAAATGGTATCTTATACAATCTTGTGCGCAACAAAGACAAGGACAAAAGCAGAGAAGAGGACACAACAAGGCGCTTTTCTCTGCTTTTGTCCTCGTCTTTGTTGCGCACAAGTTTGTATAAGATGTCAAACCAACTCGCCCAAACAACCACTCTTGTCAAATGGTACTTTGCTCTGCAAGCAGGCCATTGGGGGAGAAACTATTTGCATTCAAGTCACAAGTTCAATGACTGACATACCTGAAAAAGCCACTTTTCGGCACTTGTAAGTGCAAGATATACGGTGTCGAGAATTGTATTCCGTCGATCGTGGAAATACGTAGTAGACGGAACATTGCGTCAAACAGAGAAATACACAGTTGAGTGACTTAAAAGTAAACATTTAACAGATATCTGCCTGGTTGGGAGTAATTAATTATTAAAACGTTCAAACACCAACCAAGCCCTTCTATGGGACCCTACGTTTCGAAGCCAATTCGGCCTCTTCTTCAGGGGTGACTACAGCTATGGCCGTTGAGGAGCAGTGTCCTTCTTTTTTTTCTTCTATGGCTGTACCTTTTCAATAAAGTGACGAAGCCCGTTCACATATGCGGACGGTAAAGCTCCGAGAGACTGATTGGTGTCCTGTGGCGTTGTTTGAATATGCCAAGATTCGAGAAACAGTCTCTTTTGGGAATTTGTCTCAATGTCAATGATGCATGCGTTGTCAAAGTTAATACAACGGCCCTTGATGTCGCTGAGCACTGTGACGTCAAAGGCCATCGTATTGACTTTGACGCTGAATGCACCATTGACGTTGAAACAAATCCCCGAAAGAGACTGTTTCTCGAATCCTGGCATATTCAAACAACGCCACAGAACATCAATCGGTCTCTCGGAGCTTTACCATCCGCATATGTGAACGGGCTTCGTCACTTTATTGAAAAGGTACAGCCATAGAAGAAAAAGAAAAGAAGAAAAGGACACTGCTCCTCAATGGCCATAGCCGTAGTCGCCCCTGAAGAAGAGGCCGAATTGGCTTCAAAACGTAAAGTCCCTATAGAAGGCTCGGTTGGTGTTAGAACTTTTTAATAACAGTTGAGTGACAATGCAAGGACAATACTTTTAATGCAAAAGCACTATTTGTCCCATGGAGCGAACCGGCGCTTTCAGCTTTTGAAGTCGTGCCAAACAGCACCTAAATTTCCCTGTCCAGTGGAGCGAAGCCTGTAGTCTGCAGCAGCAAATTGATGGACAAATTCCCAGTGGCTCCGTGTCGCACGTGCCCCATGGCTCGCGCTCGGCCGCCACTCTTGTGTCACGCGCTGCAAGGGCTGCGGCCGCTTCTACTCCTCCATGCGCCGAGGAACATTGCAGTGCCTAAAGCATCAATATTGTCAGCGGCCGCAACCTTGGCAGTAGCAAAACGTGGCCGTCCACGCCAGTGCACCGCAGACAAACTAAGGGAGCAAAAGAATGACATTCCTGCTTTGGCATTCACAACTCGTAAGAAGTGCTTAGGTGTCCTCGGTTTTTTTGTGCTCCTCGTGCCCAGTCGCGTTAACAAAGACCTCGAACAAGGTTGCAACGTGCCGCAGAAATGAGCCCTACAAAAAGGAGGATGCCAGGATTTCGCTAAGGGTCCAAGCCACTCCTTACATGAAGTAGTCTCTTGACCAAAACCTGGCCACTACCCTAGGTCCCGTTATCTACCGTCTTTCAGGCACTAAATGAGAAGGAAGAAGTGCACTATCACCTTGCTCCCCGTCAATGTTTGGTATGAGACGCCAGTTGGCATGGAACATGGTGCGGGGGTCGTCGGGATGACGCATCTCAACGGCTTTGCTGGCAGGCACGGGGATGGAAAGGAACACGGGCGGTAGAATGCTGATGTACCTGCAACAAAACAGAAGCAACAACGAAGCCGCGTAAAAGGCGAGCTGTGGCAAGGCTACAATGTAACCCAGCAACGAAATAGTTTGTCGCAAATCTGATTTGAAAAGCCATTAGAACACTTGTTATCAAATGGGGGTCCCTAAAGGCCTTCTTGGGGTTTCCAAAGCCCTTGACCGTCAGTCAAGTGAAGCAATGAAACAGTTATTCTATTGATGCTGACTGTTGCACAGACCTAAACAGACCAAACCATGTGTGCCGAGTGAGGAGGTTTGATTATTTTCCGTTTCAGGGCTTCAAAGTTGGTTCTCACGCATTTAGTTTTTTTTTATTTACCCTTTTGTAATAAAAATTGCCCCCCCCTCAAGGTGGATGGGGTCCCCCATCACTTCTGCCAATCTAGAAGGGGTTCCTAAAACATTAGTGGTTGAGAACCACTGCATTAGAACACCAAATAAAAGAAATATCATCTGTTGAAGGCATGACAGCACTAACAATACTAATATGCAGCACCTGTTCTTTTGCAGCAGGGGGTGTCAGTGCACCGCTTAACCCCCCCCAACTACGTGCGGTGCAACACCATTGGTCGAGCGGGCTAGGACGTCAAATCAACAGCTGCGCTCTGTTGCCGACACTCTCCCCCATGTTCTTGCTACAGTGTGGTCAACACTTGCACTTGAGTCTGTGCAGGGTACCCACAGAAAGGGATCACTTTAAAAATAAAAATGCAGAAAATCTCCCACACAATAACCCAGAAAAGGGAAACGATGAGATAATTTAGCAGTACAAAGTCACAAAGGACAACCGCAAGAATAATGAAATAATGTCTGGTAGAAAAACAACAAGAGACAAACTGTGGTTCATTATATAGTAAATTTTTCTACTGCATGCCCACAAGCTAAAACGAATGGCAATGAAACTCAATCTCAAACAAACTCGGAAAGTCCAACCCTGGCAAGACAGCATACCTTCCGGCCACCGAGACATTGTAGTAGCCGAACAGTGTTGTCCAGTGTTTTGTAGGAAGTTCTTCCCAGAGGCGGGTGTTTGTGTGGTGCAAGTTGGCGTCTACGTGGTGTGCTTGTGGCTGGTCCTTGGAGATGGAATCTTCCACGCCTTCCTCGGAGGCATTCTGCCCCGTCAGCATCTGGACGAACGGGTGGACTGCACCACAATGCACGAATAGAAAGCGTTAGGAACTGCCCGGAAAGATGCCTGGCAAGTAGGACACATTGCATGTGCTCATGCAACGGTTGCTTTTCTGGCCCGAGGGCACTTCTGTGGGCTGCCCAAGCTTACAAATGGGTTTAGATTAAAGGCGGTCCACAAAATTAGTTTTTCTTGCTAGCCAAACTTGGGAAATCTCAACTCAAATGAGTTTGGATTTTCCAAGTTCGGCTATGACGAAAACTAATTTTGTGGGCAACGGTCGCCATCTTCGCACATACCGAAATCGACATATTAAATTCAAGTGCGTCAGTTGGCAAGGCATAGCTACTGTTCTGCATTTTGAGGGTGCAGCAAAGAGGCTGCTGTTGTTGCTTTGGGAACTTGGAAAACATAAACACTGAAACATGTTGCTAACCGAGCGAACGTGACAGACAGTGTGTCATGCTGTGCGGTGGCTACACTCTAGCAACTTCCACGAAATGTTATTAGCACAACCAGAAAATTTAAATGAACAAAGACATTCGAGGATCAATAAGGCCAGTTGGTGGCAGACTTCGATTTTGCTATAAGCTGTGCATTCCTGTACTAGCAGACACTATAAAGTTTTAACAGGAGTTTATATTTCCCAAGTCTCAAATATCTTCAAGGCTCACAGTTCCTTCTACAATCTGACCGTAAATAAAACCAATAATAATCGGCCTTCAGTGCGTCTCCTCTCAAACCACAAGTATACTCTGATTTCATTAGTGTTTTACGAAATGACAAGGTCATTTAACACCAACAGGCTCAAGGTTATGCCTTAATCTTGGCTTCAATATCGTAATATAATTAATTTACTTCTATCTCAAACAACTGTCATTCATGCGTTCACCCACACTTCCAAGAAACTACCTAGTGCAATTTCCGCACAAGGACATTTCTTTAGGAGTGAGTGAGTTCCCTGTTACCCGATTCAGCCAGGTTGGGTCCAAAGTTGCCCGTGCTGTCGGTGAACTTTCCAACGATGCCCATGCTGTGAATCAGCACCACTATCCAAACGACAAGGCCCAGCTGGAAAGTAAAATACCACAGTCAGTGCAAATGTCAGCTTCAAAATTCTACTTGAGACTGAACTGCAGCATGACTAGAGCCCTAAGGCCATTAAAACAGCTACGCTTCAAAGTAATGACACATCGGCCACCTTCTTGCTTAGAGGTTGACATACATTTCACTGTTTCCACTTTTGCCTGCCTCCTCCTTTCCTATAGACCTTTTCACCCTCCGTGGCATGGGCGCTGCCATCTTGGAATCACGTGATGCGGCCGCCATTAGGTTGCTTCAACTCGTCGCTTCGCTCTCGCCTCCGCGCTACTCCGCGTCTTGGCGGATGCGTTGAATTCGTGTTTTTCGTCGCGTTTCACCGCGTTTCTTACCTCACTCTGTAACGTGTCGTCCGATACTTATATATTTACCGTGTAATTGCATTACATGACTATGTGAACAACTTCCGCAGTTAATTTTGTAACACGTTTTGACTATTTTTACCGTCGGCGTGCCAGCTACGCGGGAACAGGCTATGAGCACATGAATGAGCGTTAGCGCTCACGCACATTGAACACATATATGATTCGAAGACAGCGCAAGGGTTCACAGGACAATAACTTATGAGAACTCAGGCTTGCTTACTAATAGTGTCGGAACATTCGCAATAGGAAGCACAATGTAAGTATATAATGATCGCGAATTTGGGATATCAAGTAAGGTGACAAAATACTTAGTGTAAATAACCACGTGTTTCCTGAAAGCATCGCGTTTTGTATTCATAACAGATCGAAAACAGTGGCTTTTGATTATATAGGTGAAATCGTGGACAAAATAGGGAACGTTTAATTTTAATTTGTTGCTTTATGTAAGAAGTAATGTTACGTCAACGTCAGGGAATTTGTTTGTTGACAATATCACACGAATGTCTGTCCGATGTTCTTAATCCTGTCTGCTATATAAACATTCGCCTGATCAGTTTATTTATGAATTCCAAGAAACTATACTGTGCGTAATTAGGGAAATGTCTACAGTATTTTAATTGTCAAGCTATTTTGTTAAGATAACCCGTTTAATTCAATTAATTCATTTCAACCCAAAGGTTTTGACTTCCTGCGTAATAAACTGTCACAGACAGTTTGAGAGTGCCTGGGGTCCACAATATGTGACGCTGAAAAGTCTGTCTGCATTAAAATCGCACGAATGCAGTGTTGTCGACGGCGAATATAGATTTACCTTTAGCAGCTGGCGACGCCGAAATCTACGAAGCGCATCGGTTCAAACCAGTAAAGAGCTTTCTAGAGACGTTAATTGTGAGATGCCTGGCGCTCGACTTCAGTCATACTTACCAGAGATCACTTCTTTTGCGGCCTTTAAATCCATCTGGCAAATTTTACGGGAGAGTTATGTCAGGTATCACTTGAGGGGCCTGTCACTTATTTTATACCTTGAGAACGTTGTAAGCAAATCTCCATGTAACAAATAGTCTATTTCATCGGGCCAATATCATAAAATCTAGTTAATGAGTACTTTAGTTTCAAAAAAAAAAAAAAAAAACTTAGTCGGTTTAGGTTGGTCTATAAAATATTTCTCGAGAACTTAATTTATTTAAATAAAACAGGCCGAGAGAATAACATTTTTTTTTAAATATTACCTACGTCATTATAGGAGACCTCCAGTCTGTGAAGTTGGTGTACGAAACCCAAACTGTAAACTTGCCACTTCATATGTTTTTCGTGATTCGGCATATTTTTAATCATGTAGTGGACCTGCTTCTTCACTAAGCACTCGTGCATTATAGTCTGTTACAATATAAGATGAGCAGTCGAATCTCTGACATGAGCTCGAGCCCTTCCATACCACTCGGTGCACGCGCAGCCAAAGACCGACGGCAGGAAAGAAGCGCGTGCTGGACGCGGAGCTCCTCCAGCTCTTTATTTATTTTTTATTTCATCTAGAGCCCGGGGTACGGCCGTGGGCCACTTTAATCACCTCTGTGCACCAGAGCAGTTGTTGCACTGCCGAACCTGGCCGAAATTGACAATTATACGTAATCAGACGCATCTGGTGTTCACAAAAGTGCTCGCAATTTAGGCTAGAAACCACCTCCTGGTTCTCCAAGCGACTCAGCACCATTGTGTCTTTTGCTGTGTTGCACAAGGAAGAAATTTGTATCACAAAATTAAGCGAAAATGGCATGAAACAGCAACACAATCGCGTGCGCGTTGGAACCGAAACCAACCAAATTGAAGCAACCTCATGGCGGCGAGTGCACCAGCGCCCTCTACCCGACGGTCAGCCAACTACTGAAATGAAAAGGTCTATATCCTCTCCCCTTTTTACCTTGCCCCAACTTGGCTCCCCTCGCAGATTAGTTGGGGGAGCGCTAACAGGGTTATCTTCCCTGTGGAAAACCCAGGTTGTGCATCGGCCTTTAAAATGATCGTTGGCATTTGCCTGAAACTCTCTCTGACACCACATCTAGGCTCACGAAATTGCATTTTCGAATCGTAACTAATGCCGATTGCACTTGTTCTGCTCTAGGCAACAAAATGACGGTGCCCACAAAGGAAGCGGGGAATGGAGTGGCGATACTCCTAGCATAGCCTATTTAGTGTCTCTAGTCATGCCAAAAGACTCGAGCCAAACTTGCCATGAGCCCCCTCTGGATGAGACGCATGCGTGCCCAGAAGTAGACCAGGCGCAGGCGCTTGGGCAGTTTAAGGATGGGCGAAGTGGGCGTCGCAAATATTCTTGACATGGCCCGGTTGGAGCCGTAGGTCACCACGGGAACGCCATCCGACCTCCTGCCACGTGTAAAAGAATGCAGTAAGTTTACCCTTTCTTCACCCCCACAGCCTGATGTGTGGCCGTGTGGCAGATTAACCGTGCCACAACGGAAGAAAAATGGTTGAAGCAGAGCACTGCACTGGCTTTCAAGTCCAGCTGGTGCTACTTGACATATAATCCAAGAGGATACTCACCGTGACCTGTAAAGCACGCCGACTGAGTTCCTAGTGTCGGTGTTCACAAGATTCTTGTCTTCGCCAGTCCAGGTATTGGATGCCTCTGACCTTCCCTTCTTGAGGTCAAACTTCTGAGGCCAGCAAAAGAAACGGACAGCATTATGTGCTATAGTATGCATTTATGAAGTACCCCCTAGTATTAAAATGACGAGAGCAGAAAGCAGCAAGACCGTCAGGAACATGAAAGTCACCTCCTTGCGCTGGATGTCGATGGATAGTACGGTGGCAAAGAACACCATTTGCAGGAAGAAGTCCGAGAGCAGGCCAACAACAGCAAACATGCAGAACTCCTACGTGAGAAATGTGCAATTAAATGTTTAATGTATGCATACACCGCTCTCACAATTTCTTACTCCTCTTTCTGCAGCCAATTACAAGGTTTCTATTTAAGTTTCTACCAAACTTCATAAGGATTCACTGAAATATAAACTGTTCTAGGCATACTGTAGAACGCGTGGCACCAAACAGTCAATTTTAAGTAGTCGTACGAAGCTGTCAGAATGTTGGTAAGAATGCATCAAATTTTGTTCAGTTTCCAATTTTAAAGAATGCAGTTATCCTCCAAATCGTCAGAACCTTCCCGTTTCGTCGTATTTCGACAGTGAGCTCAGTCTGAAGCCCACAAACAAAATTTCTTTTGCTAAACATGCTATGTGTGAAGCAGCAGTTAGCACATAGTTGTTTTGTTTGTTCCGAAGCAGCTCACACGTGCGTGCAGGATAAGTGAAGACTTTATCATAACGAAACTATTCAAAACTACAGTAGAGCCTCGTTGATATGTTTTTCAGGGGACCGCGGAAAAAAACTGTATCATCCGGGAAAATATAACAACCGATAATGCACGTAGGGGTCTCTACATGAGATAGAAAGCAGTTCTTACACAATGGTTTATTTTATGTGTACTTACAAAACTGTTGAGGGTTCACACATGTTCACAAAAGCGCATAATATCTGCCTGCCGCTTCGAATTAATGTTAAGCAGTAAAAGCTGTTTCTCCAGGAGTTGCGGTCCTCTTTCACTCTCTGCGCAGTCGTGAACATTTACGTAGCGGCGCAATATGTCCAATGCAACATTTGCGTCCACAAACGTGGGCACGGCGTAATCGTTTGTTTCTTGCTCGACATCTTCATCACTTTTTTCGTTGTCGGCCGTTGTCGTCAAGTGATGCATAATTCACAGTAGGTGATGACGACAATGCTGTTCAAAGTTGACGGCGCGAGTTGGAGGTCTCTTGCAATATCAGATCTTTTCCAGCTAAGATTGCGATCCGCCGTCTGAAGGTGGATCACAACTCACCACTTCCTGATCCATTTTTCGGGCACCAATAAAGTTGTACTGACTGCCTGACTGATCATCTAAAGTATATCAAACTTCTCTTTAAAGGAGAATGCCTTCCTTTCTCGCGATGCCATGACTGTCGTCAATGGGTGCGAAGTGCTTTGAAACACCACGGTTCATGCCATTGAGCGGAACAGAAACTAGAAGCGCGGCGTGCATGTGGGTGCACCTCGTGCCAGAAAAAGAGAAGGACAGATGAAAGAGAGAGCAAGAGAGAACGAGCATTTGCTGCCTCGCCAGCCTCGCTCCCCATCCGAGTAGTGCTTCAAGGTCACACCCGGGCAAGATGGGAAGCTGCGGCAGAGCTCAGCAAAGCCCAGCGAGGAGACAGAGAGACGGAAAAGAAGGGGAAAGGAGTAAAGAGAAGACGGGCATCTGAGTGCCCATGCGTGCCGTGTGACTCGCATTACATGGTTCGGCTTTGCTCCGCTAGCTTCGTTTCGAAGCCAGCATGGCAGTGGTGCCCGGCGCGCCGAGGCGCCGCAGTGCCGACACTTTTGGACGTAACAACCGGGAAAGCAAACATAACCGGCAGGAAAATAATTCATGTATCTCTATGCAAGTCAAACGGGACCGGCGTTTTTTAACTTAACAGCCGGGAAAACGTATCAACGAGGTTTTACTGTGCTCCGCTAAGTTAAGAAAGAGTGATATGTGCTTTTCTAGGATAGTAGACCACATTCTATAACTAACTAAGATTACGGACTTTAAAAAAAGTTTCGTTATATGTAAATGGTGTTTGACACACAAACCCAACATTGGCATTTTTTATATTTTGTTCAGACAGAAAATCGGAATTGACTGAAAGAATTTTACCGTCCAAGCCGTTACAGATCAGCACAATCCACAACACTGTTAACCCTCGAGACGTGAAAGAAAAACACGAAAAATGGGTGGTTGCATGTTCATGGTAGCTCTTTCATTCTCTGCCAAACTATCACTAGAACTCACCTGTATGGCTGGCACAAACGTCAGGAAAGCAAAGGTGAGCAGTAAGAGTTCTGTCAGCAGGTTCTTGGTGATAGACCAGCCCTCCTTGCTTAGGCCTGCGCCCAATGCCACACTGCCGGTGAAACGTCGACCAACCGGAACAGCGGGCAAACCACGCCGAAAGAAGCAACCGACACTGACCTTGCGCCAGGCGCACCTTTGCACCCACGTGGACCGGAGTGGAGACCACCGACTTGGTGAGGACCAGCATGTTCTCGAGACCAACCACCACCACCAGGTAGGGCAGGATCTCACTGGGGAGGCAGGAGGAGCGGGGCGACACCAGTGGGCTGCACGGAAGCGGGGAGAAGGAAGGGAAGAAAAATAAGGCGAACATGAAGGCATCTCTTATGAAAAACGACAAGTTTCCTTTCACTGGGAATCTTGCCTACTAATATGTGTTGTAAGTCAGGCAGTGGAAGATTATCTATCTTCTGTCGTCTATTAGTTTTCATCCCTTCACATTAGGCAGGCATTTGTTTGCTATTTCATAGCAGTGGTTATAACAACAAGGGTTCAAAGATGTCTTCCGTCCACTTACGCTCATTGCATATATGTACAAGGACAGCACAGTGAGATTCACAGCTCTTGGAAAAGCCACTCATCTAATGTTTATTGCTTTGTGCAAATTGACCCAGGGAATTGACCCACCCCATGGTAAATTGCTGCCTGGACCTAAGGAATTCATTTGGCAATATACCCGCTTTTGTTTTGCACATATACCTGACAGAATTCTTACGTTAAACCTATCTTCATCACTACACAAGCTTAAAAAAGACATACCTCCCGTTGAGAGTAGGATTCAGGCCAAACCAGAGGCACAGCCCGACGGACATGAAGAGCGACATAACGACTGTAAGCACCGCGCTGACTGATATGGCCCACTTGGACTTGACCAACTCGATTTTCCCTAAAAAAAAAAAAGGCAGACCCGTTTGTAGGTCACATGAGAGAGAAAAAACCCTACTTGAAACGTAACAACCCTTGAAAAGTCAGAATGTGTGACAAAATTAACCCTTCCTCTCAAAACACCCACTATGTTATTAAAACAAAAAAACAATTGGGCATTAAAGGATTTTCATTTCCCCACCACGATGTCCCGCTTATCCCAATTCCATTTGAAGCTCTAAAAATCTCGCTGCAATTTTAACCCTCCCGCCCCCCCCCCCCCAAAAAAAAATCGCTGCAACTGCCAATAATGCATGTTTGACGCCATTTTCAAAAGGACCCCAAAATGCAAACATTTTGGTAACGGTAGAAAATTTGGCTTTTGTGATACGCCGAACTGAAAAGATTATAGAGGATTCTATTTTAAAGAAGATGCTCTGCAATGACGAGCACACCTATGCGCATAAAGCACTCACGGACGGAGAAGTAGATGTAGAAGAAGAGGACGAAGTATATCGTTCCGAGGGGCACAAACTCGGCTAGCGTGTGCTGGTACTGGAAGTGCACGTGCACAATCTCCTGCTGGTCCCGCTGCTGCGTGGAGGAGTTGTGGGAGTGGCTCGGGTACGCCTGGCGAAGCTTGTCTTCCAGGGAGTGAATGATGCTGCACAAAGGAGCGGGCCGTAAGATTGAAAGACAACCACTACGTCAAGCACCGACAAGATGAGAAAGGCAGGGAGGTCCTTCAGTTTTCCTGCTTCCAGTGGGAGCTCTCTACCTTCGATAATGCTTTGGTCTCATGTATGCTTCGAGTGTGAATATGTAGCCAAAGCACCCTAGAAGGCCACGCGTATGTGCTGAAAACCGGCCATTTAAAGGAGATGCCCGCTGTTCTCGTCCTACGAGTGACTATGGCAAAATGTGGATTCCGTTTTGACAGATCTGGAAAACAGCCTAGCACATTATACCAGGTTCCGGGCAGTTTTTCCTGCAGACTGCACAAGCAACTATAAATCAGCAATAGTCACGGAATGCCAGAAGAGAAGAGTGGGCGACAACAAAAGGAAGTGCAGCTTTGCGAAAGCCGAAAGCGTAAAAAAAGAAATACTGCTCTCATTGTTGCTTAACGCTAGATAAACGAGGTGGCTGATTGATAAGCCGTGTTTTTGGGGCCTTTGCTATCACCAAGTGTCACCTTTCTAAACCTTGACCACGCAAAATGTGTCTGCTCAAGTAACACGGTATTTGTAGAGATACTAGTATGCTCGTTATCATATGCATGATTTTGCTGCGAGTGTTCCCAATTGTATGCTGAAGTGGGCCCGATACAATTTTCGTGAGAGCCAATTGGAGCAATGGAGGCAAAGCACGTGACAACCCTCATTCACGGTACAGGGGCGAGAGCGTAACCCAAGCAGTTGGAGAAGAGGGGAGGGAAGAACCCTTTCTGGACTGTGCTTTGTGTCCCAGATGCTGCTTGTGTCGGCCTTGGAGATTAGCCTGTCACTCACAATTTGTACAAAAGCGGCTTTCAGCTGTCTTTTGCTTGTGGCTTCGACAGCACAGCTAAGGAGATAGAGAATAGTCACATGTTTCTCTTCGACATGCCGATTGGCTCACGAGGACTGTAGCCTTTGCTGTTTGCCAAGTCACGGTGAGGCGAAATGACAAATTACTTACTACTGATTAACGTGAAATCCTGTATAAATGCCTTCCCCCGAGAGATCGGCCATCCCGCTAATTATCCATAACATAGAAATTCAGAAACATTGACCACCCCCCCGATTCCCGTCGGATATCACGCAATGTCTGACGGGAATCGGATCAACCGTGCAATTTGCGGTGTTGGTACACGTGACAAGCGAGTTCGCAGCGGGCTCTTGCGTTTTTGTCAGTGGTCTCCGCGCGCGATACTGGTTCACGTGGCACGGAAGTTTGTGGCAGGTTTCCCCGTATTTATAGTACCAAGAAATGCGAAACTGCTGCATCCGCTAAATTCAATATCTTCTCCGGAGACGCAGGAGTTTGGAGCAAATTCCCACGTGTTTATCGCGGAGGGAAAGGCAAATTTGGCACGTCTGCAATCTGCGCAATCAGTTCCTGTGTCATGTGGTTTGCAGTGGGTGCTCGCGTTTATCATTAATTCTTAATAAAGCTTCGCTGTCTCATCCCCAAAGATAGCCTGCCTCCTGTTTTTAAACCATTTATCTCTTAATTTCAGGTGGGCATTCTTTAAATATTTTACAGTACCATTCCAAAAAAAAGTGACACTTGAAATTAGGTGTGGGTTTCTTTTAGGAAAAGACAAAGATTGAGCTTACTCGGGATCCCATTTTTTAAGGACCATGGTGACCGCAAACGTGATGACTCTCTGTCGGTTGCGCACGCACAGTTTCTTGATCCCAGTCTCTTTCCAGGGCACTCCAAAGAGGATTTCTGAGCAACGAACACACCAGAGAATCACTCTGTGAGGCTCCTGCAGCGATGCCACGCCAAGAAGAGCAAAAGAAAGCAGGAACAAGAGAATCCTTACCTCTTAAATAGTATGAATCGGATGTCTCGTCTTTCAAGTCGAAGATGCTCATGAGGATCTGGCTGTCGTGACGAAAACTGAAAATGAGAGCATTATTACAAGAAATAAGAAAGTGTGCCCAAAATTTAGTTATACAGCCCCTTTCTGTCTGTACTACATCAATTCCAAGGTAGGCAGTAAGCATTATGCATTTACAGGAATAAAAGTGGGCTCAATAGGGCACTGTGTTGTTAAGGTTGTTTGAATTCCTCTATCAAGATCAGATGCCAGCTACATAATCCGAAAGATGTGAAAAGATATTTCATCAGCATTATGGAGAGATCCAGGAAACTTGAATAGAGGAGATAATACCCTGATACACTGCCTTGAGGCATACACATTGAGGCACTTGTGTATGCCTCAATGTGGCATACACAAATAAATATCTTCATATGATTGGTTGAACTGACTCACCCACATGCCCAATACGTTCAGTACTTCATGACATCAAACATATTTTGTTTTGCGTGAGGGCCCCGAGTGTGTGAAGGGCGTCAGGGGTATGAGTGCGTGAGGGGCATGAGGGCAGTGAGTGCATGAGGGGAGTAAGGGCCATGAGTGCCCGAGGGGCGTGAGGGGTATGAGTGCATGAGGGCCGTACGGGCGGCGAGAGCCGTGAGGGCCTTGAGTGCGTGAGGGCCATGAATGTGTGAGGGGCGTGAATGCATGAGGGGCATGAGTGCGTTAGGGCCATGAGGCCGTTGAGTGCGTGAGGGGCATGAGGGCCATGATGCGTGAGGGGCGTGAGGGCGGTGAGTGCCTGAGGGGCGTGAGGTTCAGTGAGGGTGAGTGAAGGGCTGGAGGTGAGTGTGACTGTGAGGATGAGGGGCTGAAGATGAGTGTAGCTGTGGGGGTTGATGGTGAGTGAGGGGTTTAGGTGAGTGTGGCTGTGAGTGTGAGTGAGGGCAATATAAAACACTTGTGGGGGTCAGAAAAGACGTCCGTCGATGCAAATCAACAAACTTATCTTTATCACCACACAAAAACTGAAAAGCACATAAAAAGGGGCTCCGCTGAGACCGCCCTGCTACATCGTCGAACGCTGCCAGGCTCGTGCTGTTCTCTTCGAACCCGGAGCTCGGTGCCGTCGGTGCTGCTCGTGCCGCGCGCTTGATACGTCATTAGCTGCTGACGTTGCGTGAGTCACTGCTCTAAGTTCTCGCGCTTTGGCGCCACCGCTGTAAGTCTCGCGCTTTGGCGCCACCGCTCTAAGTCTCGCGCTTTGGCGCCACCGCTCTAAGTGTCGCGCTTTAGCGCTACAAGGGCTCCCCCCTAGAGGAGTCGCTAGGGCGATGTTGTGCCCAAGAGACGGAGCGATGATGCTGATGCTCGGTGGCTTGTAAGGATGGTGCCGACGGCTGGCATGAAGGCGGCCAATGTAGAGGGTGTAGGCTGGATGCGGACGATAGTTCAATGTGAGCAGGCTTCAGGCGGTCGACGCAGATGGTGTCATGCCGCCCGTTCAAATCCAGAAGGAAATACTTGTCGCGCCTTTCGAGGACCTTAAAAGGGCCATCGTAAGGTTGTTGCAGAGGCTTCCGGACTGTGTCTCGACGCAAGAAAACGTGTGTGGCCGAGGTTAACTCGTCGCATATGTACGTCGGATGACGGTCGTGCTGCCTTGTTGGTGTGGCACGCAGGTTCCGCATAACTTCTCGAAGCTGGGTGGCATAGCTGAAAGGATCGGGCACAGTAGAAGTGGGAGACGTCACGAACATTTCTCCTGGGAGACGAAGTGACTGTCCGTAGACTAGGTCTGCGGCAGTGCATCCCAAGTCTGGTTTTAGTGTTGTGCGGAGGCCTAGAAGCACGATGGGAAGAAGTGTGCTCCAGTTGTTCGGGTCGTTGTGTGCTCTTAGTGCGGCCTTTAGGGTATGATGAAATCTTTCCACAAGGCCGTTAGCAGCGGGATGGTACGCTGTTGTTCGAATTCGGGAGGACCCAATAAGAGTCATGATCTCGTTAAACAAACGAGATTCGAATTGAGCGCCTCTGTCGGTGGAAATAGATGACGGAACTCCAAATCGTGAAATCCAACCACTGACGATTGTCTTTGCAATGGTTTCCGCGCGGATGTCTGCGATAGGGAAAACGTCTGGCCAGCGGGTGAATCTGTCTATGCAAGTGAGCATGTAGATAAATCCGGCGGATGGTGGCAAAGGACTGACGATGTCCACGTGGATGTTGTCGAAGCGAGCGGTAGGTGTCTGTACTGTGGCGAAAGGTGCAAAGGTATGTGGATGAACCTTAGACAGCTGACACTGCAGACACGTGCGAGCCCATTCACGCACATCTTTGTTCATCCCTTGCCAAACGAAGCGTTGGGCGATGAGATGTTGGGTCGCCCGAATGCCGGGATGAGAAAGGTTGTGCAGTGAGTTGAAAATGGATCGCCGAAACGTTGGAGGTACCACCGGTCGGGGAGATCCCGTGGACATGTCACAAATTATTGTTGTGTTGCAGCCTGGCAGCAACACGTCACGCAGGTCAAGGTTGCTAGATGCTGATCGTAGCCTTGGGATATCTTGGTCGCCTTGCTGTGCTGCTGCTAGAGCGGCGAAATCCACAGCGGTGGGAATGGCGTTGCAGCAAGGTATCCGTGACAACGCATCAGCAGCCGAGTTGTCTGTGCCTTTGATATGGCGGATGTCACTTGTGAACTCCGCAATAAATGAAAGGTGCCGACTCTCTTGAGGAGAGAGACGGTTGCTGGTCGTTTGAAGTGCATAAGTTATCGGCTTATGGTCGGTGAGGATGTGAAATTGCCGACCCTCTAAATAATGCCGAAAATGTTTGATGGTGAGGTATATGCCGAGTAGTTCTCGTCCAAAAGTGCTGTACCGGGACTCGGCTGGCACCAACTTCTTGGAAAAGAACCCAAGGGGCTGCCAGTTTCCGTCAGCGAACTGCTGCAGTACTCCGCCTACAGCTACATCCGAGGCATCCGTCATGATCGAAAGAGGTGCACCAGCGAGCGGGTGCGCCAACATTGCGGCTTCTGCGAGCGATGACTTGATAGTTAGGAATGCCTCCGCTGCCTCTGGAGACCATGGTAGAGGTGTGGTGTCCCGCTGAGTTCCCTTTAGGAGATCAGTCAGGGGTTGGAGGACAGTGGCGCAATGCGGCAGAAAACGGCGATAGAAATTCACGAGGCCAAGGAACTCGCAAAGCTTCCTGCGTGATGTAGGCGTCGGGAAGTTCTTGACTGCGTCGACTTTGGATGGAAGAGGGCGAACACCCTTGAAGTCGACCCTGTGGCCAAGAAAATCCAGTTGTGAAACGCCGAACTCGCACTTGGCCTTGTTGATGATGAGCCCGTATTCCGCCATGTGCTGGAAAAGGATCTCCAGGTGTTCGAGATGCTGTTCGGCGTTAGCGCTGGACACCAGGATGTCGTCGACATAGGCAAAACAAAAGGTAAGCCCACGGGTGACGCTGTCGACAAACCGTTGAAATGTCTGGGCCGCGTTACGAAGGCCGAAGGGCATCCTCACATACTCGAAAAGTCCAAAAGGTGTTGTGATGGCTGTTTTCGGTATGTCACTTGGTTCCACGGGGATCTGATGGTACGCTTTGACCAGGTCAATTTTTGAAAAGATGGTTGCTCCCTCCAAGGACGCCGAGAAATCCGTGATGTAGGGTAGGGGGTAGCGGTCTGGAACGGTGTTGTTGTTCAGAGCGCGGTAGTCTCCGCAGGGCCGCCAATCACCTGGGGGTTTCTTTTGCACCATATGGAGGGGTGATGCCCATGGGCTGGACGATGGTCTGATGATACCGAGTTCAAGCATGTGCTCGAACTCGGCTTTCGCTATCTTCAACCGTTCGTCCACAAGGCGTCGTGGACGAGCATGAGTGGGAGGTCCGGATGTTACGATGTGATGTGTCACGTCATGCTTTACTGGTTGCAGAAAGTTGGCGGGACGTGTAAGCGACGGGAACCGTTGGAGTAGGTCTTCAAACTTTGTAGTGATTGGAATGCAACGTTCTGGGAGTGGTGAGATGGATGCTATGCCTTGGACAGCTAGGTGAGTGGTGGCATCTACAAGGCGTAACCGTTGCATGTCCACTAGGAGGTTATAGTTGTGGAGAAAATCTGCTCCAAGGATCGGGTCTGTCACGTCGGCAACCAGGAAAATCCATCTTAGCGGTCTTCTTAACCCGATGTTGAGGGTCAGAGCTCGTTCACCATACGTCGCGATAGCGGACTTGTTTGCGGCCTGCAAGGTGACGTTAGCGCGTTGCGGCTTGGTTGACATGGCCGTCACGGGTAGGACGCTTACTGCGGCGCCGGTGTCGACTAAGAACCGAAGACCAGTATTCTTGTCTAGTACAAAAAACAGACGGCTGGTTTCGGAACCGGCACCACTCGCCGCCTCTAGTGGTGGGTCTGGGCGTTTTCCGAGGCCGTGCATGGTGAAACACATTTCTTGACTTGCGCGCCGAAAGTGCGATGGTACCAGCACGTACCTCTTGAGGGCGAGGGATGTCGGGGCCTACGCTGTCGGGAAGATGACCTTGGTCGATGGCCTGCTGGAATGCGATCGGTGAGAGCGGCGATCTGTGCAGAGAGTCGTCCAATCTCCTTGTGGAACTCCTCTCGAAGGTTGTTGACGTCACATGGAGGTGTCACCACTTCGGCTGAAGGAGTCGCGGGAAGCGATGGTCCGGACTGGTTTTGGACGTGTGCGATGGTGGGCACTGCGACTTCCATGACAGAGTCCGCGAGCTTTGCCAGATCCTCAAGGTTGAGTCCAGCGGCAGCGGCGAGAACCATGCGGACACCTGTCGGGAGCCGTTGCAGAAAAAGTTCTCGCAGCAGCGCTACATCGAATGTCGGCGCCTTCTCACCCAACAGTTGTTGAAGGCGACGCAGTAGTTGTGTTGGCTTGCGGTCGCCCAGCTCCTCTGAAGTAAGGAGCTGTTGCAGTCGGCGCTGTTCCGACGACGTGGTCCTCCGTATGAGCTCCGCCTTGAGGGTGTCGTAGGGGGAGTCTGCCGGCGGTGTCAGGACCAGATCCCGAATTTCCGCCGCGATGTTCGGCGGAAGCGCTGCGATGATGTGGTGGAACCTCTGGACTTGTGATGTTATCCGGGCCGTGGCGAACTGGCTCTCCACCTGGGCGAACCAGATCTGAGGGTCCGCTGGCCAGAACTGAGGCAGTCGAAGGTGTAAAGCTGAAAGTCCGCCAGTGGAAGGTTCACCAGACTGCGCCATGACGACTGGAAGCGGTTGATGAGCTTGGCGCAGCAGGGAATTGGCTTCAGAGGTGCGGCGTTCCTCGGGTCACCACTTTGTGGGGGTCAGAAAAGACGTCCGTCGATGCAAATCAACAAACTTATCTTTATCACCACACAAAAACTGAAAAGCACATAAAAAGGGGCTCCGCTGAGACCGCCCTGCTACATCGTCGAACGCTGCCAGGCTCGTGCTGTTCTCTTCGAACCCGGAGCTCGGTGCCGTCGGTGCTGCTCATGCCGCGCGCTTGATACGTCATTAGCTGCTGACGTTGCGTGAGTCACTGCTCTAAGTTCTCGCGCTTTGGCGCCACCGCTGTAAGTCTCGCGCTTTGGCGCCACCGCTCTAAGTCTCGCGCTTTGGCGCCACCGCTCTAAGTGTCGCGCTTTGGCGCTACACGCTGACCTCTGATTATAAGTACCTCAGATTATAAGTAGTTGGGACACTAAAAATTTTAGCCCCATATTCCTCAAAGGGGCACTCAAACGGATTCTGAATTTTTCTATTTATGGTGATAATTCAACCTACCGGCTTTAAGCATCCTAAAATCCCAAAATTACACTCATGGATGGCCGATTTTCCTATTAGAAATCTAATCAAAGATTGTGACACGGCCTTCTTTTTGCGTCTTGGGGAAGACACTAGGGGGTGCCGTCGGATGGTGCTTTCAAACAACAAATACTGTATCACATCTGCTATACCCCAAGATTTGACATTCTTGTCAAAATATGATGCATGACGCACCTAGAAAGAGCAATAATGATAGTAACGTTCGGAATCGCCACGCAATTAACTAATTTCACTGGTAAACTTTTATGGAGGTGGTGGAAATTCAAGAATGCCTTACCTGTTGTAGTCCTGCTTCCAAACATAGGTTGGCGACAAAGTCAAGCAGCCGAACTGAGGCAGAGATGTCGCAGCAACCTTGTCTTTGGGCTCAGAGACTTGCATGCACATGTCTTGAAGGGTGTGGACCGTTGAATTGCTGAAGACCAAAAGGCAGGGGCAGAAATGAACAGGTAGTACCCTCTCTTGATACCGACTCGGAAACCAAAGCAGACCCGAGTCGGGACGCCGCAACGACGGTGACCTTTGTCTCCACTCCGGTTTTTTGCCAGCGTTTATACAACCGATTGATGAGATTGAGATGTCTGACAACACCACGCGCCGGCTCCCGTGTCGCAATTCGTTGCCCTTTCGGGAATTATTTCGATGCATGGGTCGGATGGGACAGCAAACACCAGCCTAAATCTCGTTCCGGGCACCATACCAAAATAAGGGTTTGTCATTTCTTTTAACATCCCTTTAATGGCGAGATGTATGAAAGTTACTTAAAACATTCATTTCTTGATATATTAACGTTTAACGAGATCAAATAAACAAATAAAGCTGAAATTAAAAAAAAAAATAGTTATGTAAATTTGCAGCATTCTTTCTTTCTTGTCTGTAGAAAACACCAGGCAAAAGTCAGAAAATGCGTAACTTCTGTCTGTAGAAAACACCAGGCAAAAGTCAGAAAATGCGTAGCTTCTATCGATCACTGTAAAATTTAAATATCTGCACATACAATATCCTCAAGTAAAACGGTCACCTATCGTGAAATATTAGTGGCAAGAGAAAAACACTCATTCATATTTTTCGCTGTTCCACCGTTCCCGGTCTCAGCGTATTTGTGCGCCAAACTTCTTTTTTCTAGTAAACTATTTGTGTATCTTTTCACTAAATGGCACTGTAGTTTCAATCTTCAAGACTGTTGCCAGACTAATAGATTCAGAAGAAAAAAAACATAATAAAACCAAAATTATTAAACAAAATTATTATGTGGTTTGTTGCCTCTAGGCAACACTCGTCAAAAAAGTATAAAAATAAACAGTTAAAAAAACCATTAATTGACATTCACTTTGCATGTTCTATGTCGTAAGGAAGAGGAAGGCAGCCTTGCCTGTCCACAAACTGGTGGTTGTTGATGAGTTCCGTCAAATGAAAGGACTCTGCCAACGGAGAGCGGAAGGCGTCCATGAGCATCAGACTTTGTTGCCACGGCGACACGGCTGCCTTCACCACTACCTGCTGCACGTAAGCCACCGGGGGTCCCTGAAACTGACGCGCAAAACCTTGTTAGTGGCGAACGCAGCAAGATTTGTGCTGCAGAGTCTGCAACTTCAATGTCGGCATTCATTAATTTGTTTACGTATCGCAACTTGTCGACGAGAATTACTGTTACTTGCAGCGATAACAGCAACAACACATGGATTTCAAAACTGGAACTGTATGTACGATCAAAGACAAAAATAAATGTGACCACTAGCGTGTTATGCAAGTTAGAGCAATACAAAAAGCCGAGAATTTAGATTATGTTACAAGGGCACCGTAACACACTTGGGTCATATAAGAAATCTCAAACAAAAGAGGAGCAGATCATCGATATTCCCCTATGAGGCTGGATATCACGTGGCCACGTGCACCTTAAAGACATTGGAAGTGCAAGTGTTTAGAAGTGCTCATCCCTGAAACACATGTCCTTGCGTAATTCCAAAAAGAGGGTTAAAAATTTGTAGCATGGGTTCATCGCACTTTGTGAAATGAAGCAGTAATTAAAATGTGAGCCTCAAATTTCTGACATTAATATTCATAAAAAAAAGTAGAGGAGAAAAGAAGAAAGAATCAATACTTTGCTGCATTTTCAGAAGCCCAGTATGGAGCAAGAACATTACCGTAGGGTCAATGACTGCATTTACCTGACCAAATCAATAAAAGTTCCCATTTTTTTTAGTAAAAATGGTAACATCTATTAGGAATCAAGAATGGCTGCTTTAAAGAGCTATGCTTTCTGTATTCCTCTGCTGCCTGTAGAATTTTAACACACAATACAATTATAACGATGAAGCTGCCAGACACTGCAGTCTCCCTTGCTGTGCCAAGAGGGAAAACGTTCTGGGTTCACAAGCAATGCAATCACATGCATCAGTGTAATTTCCAGAAAATTACGACCATCTGAACAGTGACATCATTCAGTCACAAATGTTTTGGCAGGTCACCATCGTGGTATTTTCCTTGGCCTAACTCCCACCCTGATATGAACAGATAGCGACCGGCATGCACAGGTGACCCTGCATTTCGCATTAGGGAGGAGGGTCCCGTCGACAATGCAATAAGGTTGAGGTGCCTCTCAAGATGAATTTCCAATGGAAAAGAATGCGGTTGGATAAGCGGCACCACAACTGATATCACTCTAAGATTTGCGAGGGGGTGAGTGCACCCTGTGGGTCTTATCAGAAGCAGACACAAATCTCCCAGACAGAGGGAGGAGGCAGCCAGAGGTGTTTATCAGGAAAAGCGGAAAACACGTAAACACACACGGGAAAACGGAAAACAAACAAGAAAAGAACAAAGGGAGTGGGAAAAAGTAATGATGAGATGAATGACTGAGGGAACCAACCGACAAAAAACAGCAATTAATATTAAGTGCAACCAACATACCGTAAACAACTTAATTTTTGCAAACTTTGCAATTCGCAAATATTGCAAAAGATTTATCATGCATATACCGCACAAGTTAATGTGATCGATGGCTGTTTGAAGGGACCACATAAATCCATCTCTTAAAGTAGAGCGCTAGGGTTTACTACGGAATTGCTTGAAGGTGGAGGAAGCTTTTGCTAAAGTTGTGGAATGATGGGCTTACCAGAGTAAATCACGAAAAATAAAAAAATACTGTTTTTCCTATACTTTGCATGCATACTTAAACAAATATTTTGTACCACTGTGGCACTTGTGTGGGTCAAATGAAGTGAAGAATAGGCACGCCAATTGCATTTTCTTTCCAATTCATTAATTTTTCTGTTGTAATAAAAGCAAGAATAGCCCAGAACGATTTTCTGATAATTTTCAGAAAAAAGGCTTAGCACTAATTTTTCCTCGAAAAAAACAAGGTTTTATCTCCTTTCGCCTCCGGAGGTTTTATGTATTTATACTATCAATTAACGAATGCTTCACCTTCAAGCGCCTCTGCAGTAAATCCCAGCACGATAAGTTAAGAAACCGATTTATGCAGTCCCTTCAAACCGCCATCAATCCCTTTGACTCACCCGGTACATCAAAGTCAATGTTTATTTTGGTACAAATGGTTTTAGTACAAATAAAAAGTATATTCAAGCGAGAGTCCCAAAGTTTAAAAAAAAAAAAAAAACTGTATAAAGGACCCTCTTTTTAAGACGAGGTAAGTAGGCGATTCACTAAATATATTGATACATATAGCTAATAAATTTTAAAAGGCGAGAAAATGAATGACGGCACTGATTGGTAATGCGCTTCCATTCATGCTAGTAATAATAAACAACAAACAAAAATCCCGCAATATTAGACATGCATTAAGGTGAAATATACTTTTAACACAAAAAGAAAAACTCCTAAGATAGTTGAAGAGCATGGGCTTGATATGATCCATGAAAAATGAGTGGCACACAGTTTGATCTTCAATGCTAGTTGAGAAAAGACAAATTAATGAAAAAAACAAATAGGAAGGAATCAGCACAGGACGAGTCAGTTTATTTCCAGTAAAGTTTGAGAGCGAATATTAGATAGCAATGGCTAGAGTAAATGTTCAAAAACTTGACATCGACGTTATACTTTCCGGTAGAGCGTTCTATGTTTTACTTGCTACATATGCAAATGAAAAAGCACCACAGTTAGCTCAGATTTGCAGAACAATGAGAGACATTGGTGCTCATGATCTGAGTGGTAGTCAGTGTTTTGATGCATTCGGTGTATTGATGGGCACTGCACAAGATTAGAGAGAAACTTGAAAGTTAGTGTGGATATACGGTGTTCTAGATGTTGTTGAACAGTAAAATTGTTTACTAGGCTATAACCTGAAGTAATGTGAACCTAGAATTGCAAAATACCATTGCTCTTATTGCAGCATTTTGGGCGGTTTGTAAATGTTTCAGTGGTGTTTTATATGTTAGCAAATACAACAGAATTCCATAAAAAATATGACTATGTATAAGGCAGTAATACAGATTTCAGGTAGTTTTTAAAGGTAGTATTTGGCATAATTTGTAAAATATTGGTATATTCCTGTATATCTTATCAATTAAGTGCTTTCTGTGAGCGTGCCAATTCAACTGATCATCGAAAATGAGACCGCCCCCTCGCAAAATCTTGTGCCCACAAAATCTTCCCAAAACCCAGACTTGGCAAAATATTGAGCCTATGAAAACAAGTTCTCTAGAGTACTCCAAAGAGTGAAGGAGCACAAAAGCAGGTTACAATATTAAAACATATAGCCAGGGTTCCTGCAACTGAGGTTACAATAATGAATAAAATAGCAAAATTAATCAACATGCCAGTAAAAAAGAAAAAAAAAGTAAGTCAGTGAGTGAGTCAGTTTTAACACAATGAGCAAAATTGGCTTAATTTCAATCATAGCCCTTTTTCAACAAAAACAGCACACTAATCTTGGAATCGGTCATAAGAGCTGAGAATTCCAACAACCAGATGCAATGAAGTGAGGCAGTTGTCCACCATGTAATCTATTTCACTGCTCTTCCTCCCTATTGCCTCCACTGCTACCAAAATGAAAGCATATAATGGGTGCACAGGCAGTAAAGAAAGCATGTGAAGAAGCTAAGAGGCAAGGATGTCGAGAAACATTAATTTCCACAAGCAATTTCTAAGTTTAATTTGCGAGATATTAGAGTCTCCTTTGCAGGAAAAACAGAATAATGTTCATTTTTGCCTGGAACAACCTTTTAAATGATTACTTCCTAACTCCAATCACAAGGAATAGTGGTGCACAGTTAATGCGGGAGTTAAGCAAAAAAAAAAAAAAAGCTCTAGATCCAGTACACATACATAACCCACCATAGGTGCTTGTATGATTTTGTATAACCATCACTCCTGTAACAACCCGAAATTGGGTTTTAAAAGTACCAATACATAAAATAAATAAACAGTTTACAGAACAGTATTAACCAGGAACTCATAATTCACAACCAGCTGGTTCAGACATTAAACCAGCTGCCTGTGAATTCAAAGAAAATATTAAAGTGAGAAATGTAAAATAAAAATCAATGAAAGATCAATCTCCATTGCTCGGACAAGTAACAATTCTACATGAAGAAAAAATAACTCTTTCCCAAAGAGAACCCATTAAAGCAGAAATTCGCAAACGAAACGCACAGCACGATTGAGAGGCAAATGCTTACTGCCAATATACATGAGGCCACGATAGAGATAAGATAGCGGGGTTTCAAGAGCGAACTGAGAGCGCAAGCAAAACCCCGGTCAGATTACCCGGTCTGGAATCTTTATGTCGCACTATGGGAAAGCTTTCCCCTAGGGGCAAGCTGAAGCACCTGAGGTGTGCTGCCGACGTTGGGAGTCAACCAATCAATGAGATCGGTCAGAGAAACTAACCGACGGACATGGGTTCGGAGGAGCTGCCACAGAGAAAGTCGCAGGATGCGTAATACTCTTTCGTAAAAACCTAATGCGTCGATAAAACAAACGACTGGAACCCCCATTTGCTATACTTGAAACCTAGGGGTCATCTTATTTCAGAACAACTGAAATGCCACGTGAAGGGTGCTACAACTGCCCTAAAAACGATACACGAAATGTGCAAAACATTTTTTTTATGCTTTTAATTTTTCTAATTTTTTTTTTTTTTTGTTGCTTTCTTATTTGTATTAGCTAGCGCCACTTGTGGTGAGGAACTACACTGGGGCGAAAACCACCCAAGTTTTCAGACCAGTAAGTACTGTATTTTCTAATGTATAAATCACATTCTTTTTCTTTTTTTAATCTGCGCCAGCACATATTGCGCAATGGGGCCGGTTTACACGCTTACGACCGAGTTCGTTACGACCTCTCGGGATATCATACGATGCTGGCGCCATCTTTGAGGCGGTCCAGGAAGTGCGTTTCACCAGAACAAAGGCCCTGCAGTATTTGCGACATCAGGTGTACGTGCCATTTATAAGAAATGACCGTTTATAACACTGTCAAAATTTTTTCCAGCCAATTGTGGAAAGAATGAAGCACGAAACAAATTGGAAATATGTGGAAATCACAAGTGCTCTACAGCTCGGTTGTGGGCAGTCCCCAGTGTGTGAACAAGAATTTATGTGCACTTCCTTAAAACGATCACAGACTTTAATCTGCACAAACTTGCTGAGGGATTATATTTTTCATTCAATTCGTCGGCGACACCATTGAAACTGGCTCTTGCTTGCACATACACTGCAATCACAATGCACATGTGCGGGATTATGAATGTGCTTTCACCATGCCGACCGTGTAAATATACAAGCGTGACTCTTATACCAGCTTTCTTGTGAAAACTGCCGTTCATAGGCGGGTGCCGCCGTTCACACGGCGGAGCGACTTGTAGACCGGAAAATCCGGTGGGTAGTTTATGTAAGGAGCGTGGTGGAACTCACCCAACGGGGCCCAATTGTCTGGGAGTCTTCGTCCAACTCGGCGCTGTACAGGGCGATGGGTGTGGAGAACTGCTGGGAGGAGCTGCCCAGCAATGGGATGTGCAACAGCGGGTAGCTTTTCCAAAAGAAAGGAACCAAAGAAACGGCGGCGGTGTGAGCCTCGTAATCATCCCTCTCTCAAGAAAGGACAGTTCAATGCCGAGGAGTGCAAGAAACCCGAGCTGCCAGCGAGCTTCCATTTCCAGACGCATAACCCCCCCTCCATTCTTCCTACTCTTCCCAAGATGGCATTTTTCCAAATTACACATTCATGTACACCATAAAAGCCCCGACTCTCCCCTCTGCCCCCTCCCCTGTACACTAACATTCAAAGTCATGCTTCCGCTCCGAATGAAAAAGGAAAACTATTACGAAGTCCTAGTTTAAAGAGGAAACTCTGCTGGAAATACTTGTCATAGATGTGGTAATTTAGACAACGAAAAACATAGAAAAGAGAAAAAAAGGCAGCAACGTCTACGATACAAATTAGGAGGATGACAGATGTCCCACGTCCATAAGTTCAACGTCATTTCAAATAAAAATTTCAACATCACACTTTCTTTGTAAATTAAGAAGTAGACTATAGTCCCAAAGTTAAGACAGTGGCTGCTATTAAAACTGGGGTGAGCACTTGATTGAAACAAGTTTGTGCGCTGTATTCAATACGGCATTGTCTCTTTGCACAAGAATGGGAAGCTGCTCACTATCTTACTTCTAGTATATGCTTGATGAACGAAAATCTATTAGACTTAAATTTGAGAGGCAAGCTCATGTACACGACTCAGTCATTAAAAAGCACAGTAAACAAAAACAGGGAAAAAAAAACACACAAAGAAAACAGGGTGGTTAACATGGTTGCAACTCATGATCAGCTGGTGGGACAGCAAGCCACAGTAAAAACTGTATTTTTTTCTTTCCAACTTCGTTACCTTCTTTCTTCAATCGCGGTCTATTTTATTAAAAAATTTCATCTGACAAAAATGTTTTTCTAATAAGGGCAATCTGTCAGGGACATCTACAGTGCATGCGGCACATGACTCGCTCACTTTTCAAAGTGGCGAATTTGACGTACTGAACTGTGCCGGTTGCGTAGCAGATTCCGGGAGAAGGAGTCAATAGAGTCGTAGGTCTAGTAATAAAAAGATGAAGAAAAAATATTTTCTTTGTTTTTAGTAAAGGTTGCTCTCGAAGTAAAAGCATGGACACAAAATGCCTTGTAGTGACACAGGGTTATCAGGCTCTTAATGTTAGCAAATAAACAGTACCCCAACAGCCCCTGGCAGGCTCCCTTCTTGAAATGAGGCACGCCACCACTTTATTAATCAGACCTGTCACTCTCTTTCCACTAAATTTACAACATATGTGTTTGATGATCCCGTAGTCCCAGTTGAGTCCTAATGTTTGTTCATTGGCAGTCCGCAAAAATGCTATCCTACCTTCTTTTTTTTTTATATTGTGCATAGAGCATTGCATCACATACTGAAAGAAGAAGAATTCAAACAGATATCTAGTTTCTGCTTCAACGAATATTCTGGAAAATATTTTTTGTCTCTATGCCAGAATTGGTGTGTAACATATTAAAATCTATCAAGAACTCCTTATCCTCCAGTAAGAATACCTTCCATGCATAAGCAAGAGTGCATCACAGCTGTTTCCTCTCCCAGTCCCAAACTGATATGTTTGAAACAACATGTCATGAAGAGCGAAATTGGTTGCTTCAAATTTTTGTTGTATTTGGACCTGCTTTCTCCTGTAAAAGCATTATGCAGTAACTGGAGTACCTCCAGTGTGGCGGTCAATTATAAAATACAAAATGGTTCTAAGACATCTCCATCCACCAATTTCTACTGCTTGCTAGTGCTACACATGAAATTCCAGCACTCGCATACTCCATACAAAGACAGTTATGCACAGCAAACATGACACAAATCGTACTCAAATTCTAAATGGAAATTTATAGGAGCAGCTGGCCCTTCATTATGTGTCAATATCTCCTGAAGACACACCTGACCTGCCTCGACTAGACTGGCATTTGCTTGGAATGCACAATTCCCAAATCAAGAGAAGAAAAAAAAGCATCCTTTATTTCTCTGTAATGCACTCTAGATAATGCCTGACAAGGGAGCATCTACAACCTACACTATCAACTTTCAATGCAAGCCTTTTTAGGAGATAAACTTCTGCAGGCAGCATGCCAAGTTTGATGGCCTTCCTACATGCCTCTAATTCTGGGCAATGCATGACAGCATATTTTTATTTCTTTTGGATCTAGTATTTTATATGCTAAAAGGAAGCTGAACAAAATGGAAAAAAATTCGATCATATTACAGCTTACTAAAGCAATTGTTAGCCTAAGCCAAACTTATACATATTATTCAGAACTTGGAGTTGCCTACAGCCTTCTTCACTTAGTTTGGGTATCAAAGAAAGAGTAGTTAATTCACTGAAAGCTCTAATATTTACGGCTGAAAACAGTACCATAGAATACCGCGCATCTGCCCATTCCACATTAAGCGCCCATTTCCAAATCTGTAAGATCTGAGAAAATATGCACAGTACATTTATATGCAAAATTGATGACCGGAAAAGCGCCCATCCCCTATTTTTTTGCAATTATCTCCAAAGTTTGAGCGGGCGCTTGCCCGATATTTTACGGTAGGTTATAAAATATGTAAGAAAAAGGAAAAAGAAAATTACTATTGGACCTGCACTGCAGAAAAAGCATAGTGTTTGCCATTATGGCATTTCAGACATTTCTAAAAAAAGGATTTACACTTTTCTGAAAAGGGCTCATGTGCAGAGGCTGTACATGAGGCCTTGCATGAGAAAGTACCCCTCAAAGTCACAACAACATGTAAATGCAGTCATGACATGTCAGCAGCAGCACCCATCAATAGTGCTCCGGCGGTTACTTTAAAACTTCTGAAAATATATCACCGACCCCTATGGAAGAACAATGCTGCCTGTTAAAAAATAAGATAACATTGAGTCTATGCTTGCTTTGACCTGAAACATAAAAGCCACAGATAAAATAACCACAACATAATTTTTTAGAAATACAGTGTAAATCTTAATTACATTATGAGTGAATAGAATCAATGTAACATTACTAGTGAGATGTGCAAGCCTGAGTCACAGCATAGAAGCAGAACACAGTGTACTTGCACCATTAGCTGTTACCCTCTGATCAGATTTTATAAACTAATTCAATAGGCAAGTGGTATGCTAGAAGCATCTGATGCTGCCTCTAACCCCCCCACCCCCCCCCCTTTTTTTTTTCCCCTTTGTTACAAGTGCTCTGAATAAGGTTCTTGGAGATGTTTAAGAAAATAATGCATGGGTTTTCAGTGATATGCTAAGGTGTTTGAAAGAAACCAAACACTGTAATATCTTGTAATGTCAAAAGGACTGGTCTTGTGTGATGATGACAAGAACTGTTACACTTGAAGTGGTGTTTCAATACAAATACCATAAAAGTTCTTTGGATTTTTTTTTTTTTTTTAAGAGCAATTTTTGCAATTGGCATTTTGCAGTTTTTACGAGGCTGTTGGTATTTACAATATAAAAAAAATGACACATGTTGATTCCGCTTTGTCATCACCACATAAACGTCAAACATGGTGTCAATTTTTTTTTTTTTTTTGTTCTTCCTGAACCATCACTGATTCTGAAGACATACTCTAAATTCAAAAATTTCCAAGGCCTTGAAATTGGCTATTACATGATAAAGATTTTTTGAAGGTCTTAAATGACCTGTGGCAAGTCTGTAATCAGGACGTCAAATCCATCCAAGCAAAGTATAGTAACTGAATCTGAGCCACTCTGAGGTCCATTTACACTGGGACACAGGGAATTTCTTTTGTCACGCATCTCGCAACACCTTTTTTTTAAAAGAAAAAATATATCTACTATGTTAAAAAAGTTAAAAAGAAATAAACAATGGGAGAAAGTTTACAGGAAGCAAGTGGAAAGCACTCCTCCAACTTTGCACTTTTAATACTAAAAAATGAAACACTAAAAACAATACTGCCATGTCTGTAAACCAGCGACCAATCTTGTATGAACAGAATTACAGCAATAAATAATTTTAAGTGGATCAGTATTATTACCGCCTTTCTGAGTTTTACACATGAGAGTAGATGCAGTGCAGCAAGTTAGATACTGAACACAACTGCATTTTGTGGAAGTGGATACTCTAGAAATCGCGCAATCGGGACAAAGACATAAAAGGGATGGTCTGTACTTCTACATTTCCTCCCTCAATGAGCCATCACAATTGTCAATATGCTCATTTTGCCTTTAATAGTAGAAGTGTTTGTAAAAACTGGAGTGCACAATCTCCTTCTGCAATAAGGTTTTGGATGACAAAGCAAACTCAGGGTTCAGCTTTTTTTTTTTTTTTTTTATGTAAGCTTACGATACTTTTGATACATGTGATTTATGGGAAGGACTATATTTACAACCTAGGCTCTTTTCAATCTGCTTGCACACAAGCAACATGATTAGGACAACAAACATCCATTTTGCAACAAAAAAAAAAAAAGAAAAGAAAAAAAACACGAGAATTGTGAGCATTGTGCTTTTAACCACAGAAACTACAGATCTATAAAGAAATTATCACTTTCAGATTAACATCACTCATTCCAACAAGTGCAGACAAACATGCTCCTGCTGTTGTGTTTCCACATGTCTCTCACAGCAGGTGTTTGGGGGAATAACGAATCCAGTTGTTCTGACCACAAAAATAGACCATGCTTTGCCGAACGCTCAGGTTCTGCTGAAATTTAGCACTAGCAGTTTTGATCAGAAATCAGAAGCAGAACTTACTGTTATCTCATTCGAAAGTTATAAGTGACTGAAATTTACAGTAAAAAAATCGGGTCTGTCTCCGGTAGCAGACACCATTCTGTGCATTTGAGGGCTTTGTTGGCCTCCATCTTCTGATTTGTTTACCATTTAGGAAAGTCAATCAAGCAACAACACAAACAAACAAATATATGCGAGACTTAGTCAACTATGAGACACATACAAAGCTCTTGCTTTATATGTGTCTCACTCCAGCATCACGTAGAGGTCGGTTCACACGTTTGCAATTGACTGCGTGCGGGTGCGTTGCATTTTCTTGTAACCTACGGTGGCACGCTGGCACCATATTTCAGGTAGCCCTGGAACTGCATTACACCTAGAACGAAGGTTTTGCCGTGTTTAAGAGATAGAATTTTCGCAGCATCTACAAGAAATGGTCGCTTAAAAAATTCAAAAATAATTCTGACAGGATTGTTAGAATTATTTCAAGCACACGGGGAAAGGGCAAAGCGATAAAGATTATGAGAATATATCCATAGATTGAGAGGACACCAGGGCAACCAATGTGTATTCTTGCTATAAAAGGTTACAAGAGATGCAATGCTTTCGAGCAGAGTCAAACACAATTGTGTGAACTAGCTTTTACAGATTTACAATTCAAATTCCACAACAGAGCAAGTAGACAGGTAATTGAGCTCACCAAGCGATGAGAAAGGTAAAGATGGCAAATGAGATGAGGGTGAGGGGATGGCTCGAACAGTACAGCCCATGCTTGTAGTAGATCTGTGCAATCCTGTCCTTGATGGTGTACGACTTGGCTGGGGACGATGTCACCGTGACGCCCTGCATAGCTGGCGAATTGATGCGGCAGGTCAGCCTCCCGCAGTCGACGGAGCAGCACGAGATCGAGCCCATGTCGCTTTTTTTAGTCTCTTGCCGCAAGCCACTGTAGTTTTTACAGCACAGTAACAGCACAGCCAAGCGGGAGCTGATTTCCAGGAACCTGTTACAGCATGCACTGCTATTGTAGTGCCTCTTATCCTACTCCTGGCTTATCACTCCATTACTTGCGCTTTCGCATACAAGCGTCGGCAAAGTGTCCCTTTTTATAAAGCAAAACCGGCAAAAGAACAACTTGGCACGCAGAGCTACGAGGGTTTGCAAAGCCGGCCGGCTGCGCTTTTGGAGGAATCTAAAACGTGAGATACACTGGCACTGATACAACGATGGAAATAATCTGGACAGCAACCACAAAAACACGAAATGGAAGCCTCGAAGGAGTGAGATAGCCCGACAGTGTCGGAACCCCGTGCCAAATGCTGAATGACGTAATAGCCCGCGATAGCCGGTAGCCCGTCATCAGTTGCTTAGATAAAGTGAAGCGATTTCAATGATGTTAATTTGGAATGCGCATGCATTTTGCCGCGGATTCTCACCGTGTGGGTACAATCTTCTCAGTTGTTGCATAGACGACCACAGCAGAAAATTTGTTGACTAGGCTTATCTAGCGGATTATCCCACATACCATGTTCTGCAGATAGAGCATTATGAAAGGCGTAGGTTCAAAGCTCCGGAAAATGCCTAAGAAGCATGGATGCGCTCGTGCCTTATTAGTCTTTTAGAAGATTGTTCCGATACCTCCGATAACGGCGCCGAACAATGATATGATGCGTCTGCAAAGGCGTCATTGCAGCATGAGTATAATTATGGGAGACATCAGAATGATCTACTAAAACTCTTCATTGAAAGTGCGAAGACTAAACATGGGATGCCTTCCTTGAGCTTGTGTTCATACCTGTGCTTATGAGGCATTTTATACCTTCTGCTACGCTGCAATAGAGCTGAAACTCAAACTGAACCACATCCCCTGAACACATTTACTCCCTGTAACCAAACGGGCACCATGCTGGGGGCTTTTATGGTGAATGCATTGAAGGAGAGGCGGTTATGGTGCCTTCTTGCATCAGACACTAAAGCAAACAATAAACAATAGGATAAACCTGAGTCTGAGATTGCGAGCTCGCACGGAAGCAGTAACTTGAAGCGCTACGATTGGGTTGCTTGGACTGGAAGGCAGTGTTCTCTCTTTATTTTCTTCTTTCTGCCTGTTCTCGGTTCTCGTAGTGTTTCTGAAGCGTGGTAAAACAGTGTTACAGGTTGTCGCATCGCCGTTAGACCACCCTGTTATCTCTCCGTCGTTCGTACACTTCGTTCTGTTGTTTGCTCCTTATTTTTAGTGGAAAGCTAGAAAGTCAGGTTGCTGTCACAGTAGTGGTGTACTCAAGTCGAAATGTTGTAAGGTCCCTGGGGTAAACAATTTTTCGCCGATCGGGGGTACATTAGAATTATTCGTTAAAAGCGGAACTGTTACTCGATACGCAAATATATGCCGATACGCAAAGGTGTGCCATTTCGACGAACAAACAATATACGTCCCGATTTCAGCAGGATTTCAGCCCGTGGTGAAGGCCTTACAGTTCCAAAGGAGCATTCGACTTTACTTGGCCGGTCATTTTACTTTCTCGAAAACAATTACGGGTACTGCCCCGCTCAAAAGAAACAGCGCTATAACTGCCATAACGGGGTATTTGACAGGAACGATCATCTAGAACGAGCTTACCTATTCACGCCGTTCACGCGATGAGCGGTCGAGAGTGGTTTCGCCTCGACTACGATACCGCACTGAAAGCCACAAATAAAACCAGTTCAGAGGAACATCCGATGGCGCACATTGGAGCGACGAAAATACAGAGTGTTTCGGGGTCTCTGTACATAAATGCAACTTAAAAACGAAGATTCATTCACAGGCAATGCATGTGGTAAACAACATAACTGCGACATGATGCGAACCATGGACGCGAACGCACAAGATTTCCCCACGCTGCGAGCTCGAAGCCACCTAGCGGCTCAATTGGCTCGATTCCACATAGTTGTGAGGAAAATTCGCCAGGGAAAACGGGGCGCTGTAGGCAGAGACGATTATTCTGAGGAGAGCGTTTATTATTTATCCGTTGCTTCAAACTTCGCAGCTTTTCGACGACCGTCAACTCAATGACGATATTTTTGCAGCACAAAATATTTACTAAAAGGTATAAATCTGAAAATATTGAAAATAAAAGGCTACTGTTTTGAAATAATAAGTAAGCCAGCTTTCGAAATGTTTCACTTACGCAGTCCAAAAAAGGTAACACAGCAGCTGTTAAGAACAATATTTATTTTAGGTTAAAGCGATTATACAATTTTTAATCTCAGTAACAATTTTTGGGTTCGGTTTCGGTTTAAAGTTTGGGGCGTTATTTGTTGTTATGATACCCAGAAACGACAGGAGAGTTCAGAAGTTCAGCAGGTGCGCTGAACTTCTGAACAAACGTTGCACCCTGTTGAAATTAAAATCAACATAATTAATCCATAACATAGTACACACACAAACACAAACATACGCGCGCACTCGCGCGCGCGCACACACACACACACACACACACACACACACACACACACAAAGAGGACGAAGTAGTTGAGGACAACGGGACACAGAAGTAGATATATACCGTCTTTAGTCAGTGATCTATTATAAACCAGACTCTTAGATTTGTAAAGGTAGTAGCATGACCCAGAAAAGAAAGCTTTATAATCCAGCCCATCTGTCCCAAGACTGCAGAAACTGGCCAAAAGCGCAACAGAAAGTAAGTTCCACTTTTGAACGAAACACAAACACGCACACAAACACACACACACACACACACACACACACACACACACACACACACACACACACACACACACACACACACACACACACACACACACACACACACACACACACACACACACACACACACACACACACACACACACAAAGAGATAAACTCACGTCATGTTTATTCTTTTAAATTACAACCTTTACTTATTTAGCCATACAATTTATAAACGCTGAAAGTCCAGGACTCAACAAAACGAACTTGGGAACTAATTCAATGGACCTTTTCCACATACCGACGGCACCAGGCGGTGGCTGCAGGAAATTAAAAATCGAGGAAGTATCCCACCTGCGCTACCAATCGATAATGGGAGCTACGCTACCAGTTTCTTCGCTCTCCGAGCAGCGGCGCCTGCCCAACGCGACTTGAAAGAGGGGCATCCGTGGCGCCCACCCAAACGTCGTGTTTTTCTTTCCGTCGACGTTCTCTTTTTGTGTAACACAATTATATATATGCTGCAGTTACGTGTTCTACTCGCTGATATACAAACTCCTTCCGAATTTCCTCGATTTTTCGTTCCGACTTCCGCCGCTTGGCATCGGGCGCTCGCGCGTGCGCAGAACGCTTTTCGGAAAAGGTCCATTACAGTAGTTGAGTCATTGTTAATGAATTTCTAATTTGTAACTTTGCACTTTTGAGTAATTTTTATTTTTAATTAATTACTTTCGAGTAATCTGCAATTGTATTTTCTTACTTAAAAGTAATTTACTAATTTTCAATTCGAACTCATTACTTCCGAGTAATTTGTAATCTTAAATAACTACTTCCCATTACTTTGGGATGGTTTGTAATTAATTGGGTGTCCCTTATTTTCGAGTAATTTGTGATTGTTTGCTCATCTCTTTCGAATGATTTGTAATCAGGTGTCCGTTACTTTCGAGTGATTTGTAATCGAGTGTCCATTACTTTCGAGTAGTTTGTAAGTGTTTGTCCATTACTTTCGAGTAATTTGTAATCACGTGTCCATTATTTTCGAGTAATATGCAATTGCATGTCCATTACTTGACGCTAAAAAAAGAACTCGGCCTTCCACTGCTCGCGGAAAGAAGGAAACTGACCAGACTAGTTTCATTGCACGCTTTGTATTATCTGGCCCCTTTAAAGAGAGAATTGTACTGTCCAGCGGCTCATCACATTTCTCCTCGTACAGACCATTCTCAGAAAGTTCATCTGGTAACACCAAGGACCAACCTTTTTAAATTCTCTCCACTGCAATTATCACTTTCAGAATGGAACTCTCTGCCAGAACATATTGTTACAATTCAAGACTGATCTGGATTCAGAGCTGCACTTGCTACTTTTCTCGATATTTAGCAACCTTTAATCCTGTTTTTTCCTTTCTTTGTTTGTTTTTGTTTGCTGCCAAAGCCCCCCCCCCTTATGTAAAGCCCTACGGGCGCTTTAAGGGAACAATAAATGAAATGAAATGAAAAAACTTTCGAGTAAAAGCATAATTAGAGTGGCAATTTAATTACCTTTTAGCCTCGGTTAAAGTAAAACCAATTACAATTACAGCTGTGCGGAGAGCAAGTCGTCTGCTTCTGGCGCAGAAGTTGCAGTGACGTCAGAACGACGGCGAGCTCTGATTGGCTTTGATTGAAAGAATAGTGGATATACCTCAACGCTAAACGCCTTGAGATCTATCCACTATTTTTTTTTTTTTTTCAATCAGCCAATAAGAGCTTGGCGTTCTGACGTCATCGCAACTCCTGTGCAAGAAGCAGACGACGAAGTAGTAGTAGTAGTGGTGAGAGAGAAAGGGAAGCTCAGAACATGTTGGTGACACCTTCTGTAGGGGGCGAGTTAGTTCCGAGTTAGAAAAGGGTTAGGGAAAAGGAAACAGAGAAAGAGGAAAATTGGTTCGAGCTGGTGAATTCCACTCGTAGATCTGGAGCGCTTTCCAAAATCCGCGAGGGAGGCAAAATTCCGCTCCGTGGGACCCGCTCCGTATCGACGAGGGGAAGATAAACTTGCATTTTTAAAGCGACCTCCCCCCCCCCCCCCCCCCCCCCCCCCCCCTTCTCCTTCCGCCGTTCAAAATGGCCGCTGCTCGAACTTGACCAGCCCACCAACGCCTCAGCCGGCTGATCTTTCCGACGACCAGTGACCGTGACGACTGTCACTGCTTAGCTGCAGAAGTAACACGCGACACAGGCCGGGCGAAATTATACGTACCGCGGCACCCATGTCACAAATAACGAAGACGTCCGCGTTCGGCACCGTCACATGCCTTTCGGCCACCTCGAAGCGGCGGGGCACGGACAGGGATTGCCAGCGTGGAGTTCAGATTTGTAGTACGACTTCAATAAACACAGATGTAACAAACCATCACTTGCGCGGTCGTTGCCTAACCACTTCTTGCTTTATTTCACGGGAAAACGCCGACGGAATGCAGCGTAAAAAGGTAAACAATCACTGGCTGCAGAATGAATAGGCCTAACCTTGCGTCTGCCTCCGGCTTTTCTGTCGTTCTTTTTTTCGTTCTTCCTCGGTGATCACAGATGTCAGCGCTTACGATTTGCCACGCTCCACATTCCCGGCTTTTTATCCCTGATCTACGCGAGGTAGAAGCGTTCGAGCCGTCACAGTCCAGAGTAAACAACCGACGCACCCGAACAGATCCAACTCCACCGACCGGCCCGCCCATGGAGAATAGAAGGGTAGGAGAGGGCATGACGTCGGCCACGTAGCCTCCACAAGCCATGCTCCCTTGACGCCTCGCCTCTTTCTCATTTTTCTCCTTACCCTCCTCACTTCTCAGGCGAACGTGACCACGTCACGTGACCGTAGCTAGATTTCGTCTTGCTGTGGGGTAATGGAAGACACCACAGTCTACAGGTTTTCTCGCTCAATTTAATCCAAGCGACGACTAATTTAATCCCGGGGTCACTCAATTTAATCCAAGTGCCATACAATTTAATCCAAGCGCCACACAATTTAATCCTGGGGTCAATCAATTTAATCCACAACATATACATATGCGCTTATTGTGTTCAGTGGTCGTGTTTCGCTTACACATTTGATAACTAAGAACAATTGTTTATACAATTATAATTTTTGGCGGGCAATTGATAATTTGATCACTAATGTGATTACTTTGAGTTACTAGTCCCACTATGGACGAGGCTTAATTGATATGTTGGTTACTCTTTTTAGAGTGAAGCTCTTAGCTTAGGCGCCCTTTTCCGGCTTGAGTGGCGTCGGCGTCGCCGTCGGCGTAACCACGCGGTGCATGATGGGTAAATTCCCCCACTAATTTTAGCGGAACAATTTCCCCGCTAAATCTAGCGGAACATTTTCCCCGCTAAATTTAGCGGAAAAATTTTCCCGCTAAATCTAGGGGAAACTTTTCTCCGCCAAATATAGCGTGACAAATTTTCCGCTAGATCTAGCGGGGAAAATTTTCCGCGAAATTTAACGGGGAAACTTTTTTGCTGTAGCGTGGAAAATTTTTCGCTAGATTTAATGGGGAAAATTTTTCGCTAGATTTAGCGGGGAAATTTTTCCGCTAAACTTAGCGAGGAAATATTCCCGCTAAATTTTGCGAGGAAACTTTTCCGCTAGATTTAGCGGGGAAAATTTTCCGCTATACTTAGCTGGGCAAATTTTCCGCTGAATCTAGCTGGGAAAATTTTCCGGTAGATTTAGCAGGGAAAATTTACCGCTAAATATAAGGGGAAAAGTTCTTCGCTAGATTTAGCTGGAAAAATGTTAGCGGGGAAAATTTTCCGCTAGAATTAGCGGAGAAAATTTTCGCTGAATTTAGCGGGGAAAATATTTCAATATATTTAGCGGGGAAAATTTTCCGCTAAATCTATCTTGGAAGATTTTCCGCTAGATTTAGCGGGGGAAATTTTCCGCTAAATATAGGGGGAAAATTTTCCGCTAAATTTAGCGGGGAAATTTTTCCGCTAGATTAAGTTGGGGAAATTTTCCGATAGACTTAGCGCGGCCAATTTTCTGCTAAATCTAGCTGGTAAAATTTTCGCTAGATTTAGCGGGAAAATTTTCTGCTAAATATAGCGGGGAAAATTTACCGTGAGATTTAGCGGGGAGAATTTTCCGCTAAATTTAGCCGGGAAAATTTTCCGCTAAATTTAGTGGGGGAA